GTAATTATATCCTCGTCTCGCAATATTCTTGTAAAGCCATGATTGTGATATTTTATCTGGAAAATGCTTTAAACTTATGATAGTTATAAAATATAAGATTTATTTACAAATAAGTACAGGCTTAAACTGTTGGGCGTTGTCTCTTACTTTTATTGGGCAACATGATATCCTTATTAGGATTATATATGTTTTAAGATGTTGTTTACATGTATTAAATTTTGCATCATCATATGACTTGCTATTTTGAAAAAAACCCATCTTTTTATCGATCCCTTTTCAGATTTTTATTTCTAATAAAAATAGCTACATTTTTAGGGGGGGGGGGGGGGGGAATCAACCTATTTTGTTGCTTCATTGATATTATTTAGATGCTGTTTATTGTAACCTTAATGTACTCTTGTGAACTCTAAATACCCAGTTGATTAATTACTCAAATTATCCTGCAGGTTGTGCTGACCAAATTTACTAAGAATGAAATTAGCTAACTGTAGGAGTAAGCTGTCTATATATGCATGTATAAGACTCCCAGCAGAGAACGCCAAATGAAGAAGTGTGTCTTTTACACGTTTGGGAACAGGACACAGACTGTCACAATTTTTGACAAATTGGCATTTGTGTCATTGGGAATGAGGAAGTTTAATTGGACACATTCTTCACCTTTAGACTATTGGCAGTAACATTATTCTATCCTGCATGCAACCAGTACAGACCAAGATCCAGTCAGCATTTTTGTGCTGTCTAATCATGGTCTGCACTGTTTGCTATAAGAAATCGGTCAATACATTTTATTTTAAAATTTCCCCTAAAAATGATGAATAGTTCTGTCAAGATTGATAGATGGACAAGTCCATTTTCGATATTTAGTGTGGTCAATGTTTTAAGAAAGGACGATAAAAGCACTGGATATTAAGAGGTGGCTTTTTATCAATCTAAATATGCCGTTGGGACAGATAAAGCTTGGAATTATTTGTCGTTTTCTAACACACAGAGGGATAGAGTGCTTCCAGTAAATGTGTTATAATTGAAGATCGACATGATCTAATGTTCCAGCGACTATATTTATTCCGATTGTCCTACATTATGTGATATGGATATGAATTATTAGAAATATCTTGGTTGTAATCTTGAAACTTCTGGTGAGATTTGTTTTAATCGTTGTCAGTTGTCGGCTGATTTTCTCCGCTTTAATGTAAGTTTTTCTACACTTGTTTTAGTTTTTTTGCAAGGTATTTTTTTACATCATGAGTTTAAGTGACTGTGTTTAAGGTATTTTGACATGCAACAGCATGGAAATATTTATCATAGATTTGTGTACTATTTGATCAAGGTGATATGATGGGATGGAAATATTTATCAGATATTTGTGTAACATTTGTTCAAGGTGACATGACAGTACAGAAATATTTATCTAAGATTTGTGTACCATTTGATCAAAGTGACATGATGGGACAGAAATATTTATCCAAGATTTGTGTACCAAATTTTGTTCAAGGTGACATGATGGGACGGAAATATCTTTCTTGCATAGCATACTGGCGTTTCCGTTAGTTTTACCCATGCTGGAAATTTCATCTGGCATGGGGGGTGTCAGATGAGTCGCATGCTGTACAATGGCACGCTTAGGATGACGTCATTTTACCGTTATGAATGAAGTTGCAATTTCATACGCTGTTGTAAGAAAGTAGTTACGGTTGTCATGATATTAATTTCCATTAAAAATAAAGATAGAGAATTTAAAATATAATGGAATATGGTAAAATATGCAAGAAAAAATATCTGACATATGTTTGTGGTTCGGATCGGAATATCCGAATACTCGGCAAGATTTGTGTACCATGTGATCAAGGTGACATGACAGGATGGAAATATTTATCTGAGTTTTGTGTACCTTTTGATCAAGGTGACATGATAGGACGGAAATATTTATCTGAGTTTTGTGTACCATTTGATCAAGATGACATGATGGGACAGAAATATTTATCTGAGATTTGTGTACCATTTGATCAAGATGATATGAGAGCACAGAAATATTTATCCAAGATTTGTGTACCATTTTTGTGTCGCCTCTACGGAGTAGTGGCGACATATAGGGATCACTTCTCCGTTGTCTGTCTGTCCGTCTGTCTGGCTGTCCGTCCGTCTGTCCGTCCGTCCGTCACAAAACTTGTCCGGACTACCCCTCATAAACTACTGGTGCAATTTCATCCAAACTTTACAGGAATGATCAGTATCAAGTCTAGTTGTGCATATTGTCAGCATTTTCCAGGTTCAATGATTTTTGTCAGAGTTATGGCCCTTTAATAATTTTTAATTTTAAAGTTTGTCCGGACTACTTCTCTTATACCACTAATGCAATTTCAATGAAACTTTACAGGATTGATCGGTAGCTCAAGTCCTTGCGCATATTGCAAGGGTTTTCCGGTTGAATGATTTTTTGCCGAGTTATGGCCCTTTGATAAAAAGGTGTTTTTTTCTGTGTGTTGCCAGATACACAATAGCTTGTCCGGACTACTCCTCATAAACTACTGGTGCAATTTCATCCAAACTTTACAGGAATGATCAGTACCAAGTCTAGTTGTGCATATTGTCAGCATTTTCCGGTTCAATGATTTTTGTCAGAGTGATGGCCCTTTAATAATTTTTATTTTTAAAGTTTGTCCGGACTAGTTCTCTTATACCACTTATGCAATTTCAATGAAACTTTACAGGATTGATCTGTAGCTCAAGTCCTTGCGCATATTGCAAGGGTTTTCCGGTTGAATGATTCTTGGCTGAATTATGGCCCTTTGATAAAAATGTGTTTTTTTCTGTGTGCTGCCAGATACGCAAAAGCTTGTCCGGACTACTCCTCATAAGCTACTGGTGCAATTTTATCCAAACTTTACATGATTGATCAGTACCAAGTCTAGTTGTGCACTGTCCATCTGTCTGTCCGTCTGTCACAAAATTTGTCCCAACATGAAATTGGCCATTATGAGGCGACACATGTGATTACTGATCGCTCTTGTATAATGGTGACATGATGGGATGGAAATATTTATCTGAGATTTGTGTACCATGTGATCAAGGTGACATGACAGGATGGAAATATTTATCTTAGATTTGTGTACCATGTGATCAAGGTGACATGACAGGATGGAAATATTTATCTGAGATTTGTGTACCATGTGATCAAGGTGACATGACAGGATGGAAATATTTATCTTAGATTTGTGTACCATGTGATCAAGGTGACATGACAGGATGGAAATATTTATCTGAGATTTGTGTACCATGTGATCAAGGTGACATGACAGGATGGAAATATTTATCTTAGATTTGTGTACCATTTGATCGAGGTGACCTGATGGGACAAGATTTGTGTACCATTTGATAAAGGTCAGACATGACTGGACAGAAATATTTATCCAAGATTTATGTACCATTTGATCAAGGTGACATGGTGGGACGGAAATATTTATCTGAGTTTTATGTACCATTTGATATAGGTCGATCTGGTCCAGTAACTTGTGATTATTCAATCACCCATTTGTCCATAATGCGCAAAATGAACCAAAAATGACCCCTTAAACTAAAAGCAGTGCAACGCCTTTCACTCATTTTGGGCAAATCATTGCACAAAAAACGTATTTTCAATTCAAGGCTGAGTATAATCTGTTTACATTATAACTCAGCTTCACTTGATCTTATGTAAGAATTCCAAATTGTTTGTTTTCAGAGTTTTTAACCTCAGTGGAGCTCCTTTAATGATGATTAATTGTATCCATTATTGCAATCATTTGTTTTTCAGTTTTGTTGTGTTAAAATCTAAAAAGTTGTTTTTGTCAGTCACAGCTTATGCTGGAAGCACAATATCATTGATCTTAAATATGCATCAGTTGGTATTATCTTAATGTATTTATATCAGTATGTATCTATTTAATATTTCCAAACTCACCAAAACTGAAGGATGGGGGTGATTATTATTATTATTAAATTATCAATTAGTATTTAAAGTCTTAATAGTGCAATGCTGAGATTTTCTTCAAATTTGCTATGTAATGCAGGTTATATTTACTTTCAGTTTTAATAACAGCAATTACATTAAATTATTCCCAGTGGCCACTTAAACAATTGTGCCAAAAGATTTTATTAAAGATTTTTATTTTGGAACTTTGTCATAAATTTTTATCTCTGTTGCATATATCAAAGTAGAGATGAACTAATCTTCAAATGAATTCACATTTATGATCCATTGAAGTTATTATTATTCAGTAAATCTCAGATGTATTCAACATAATAATTTGGTAATAAAATTATTTAGTAAACCTCCATAGAATGGTTCTTCATTATATTCACACAATACTGCTCAGGTAACAGGGTTTAATGAAAGTCTTTTGAAAGGTATATTATTGTATTGGACTGCCTTTGTAATGGCTACAAAAACTAAACACCTAATATCTCATACTTATATGACATTGTATAGAGATATTTTATAAAAGAGAAAATAGAAATAGTTTACCTTAATGCCTTTTGTTTCCAGATGTTAAACTGAGCTTTGATTTTTCTACTTTTGTTTCCAGATTATTAACTATATGCTTTGTTTTTTCTACCTTAATGCTTTTTTTTTCCAGATCATAAACTTGGCTTTGATTTTTCTACCTTAATGCCTTTTGTTTCCAGATGTTAAACTGAGCTTTGATTTTTCTACCTTAATGCCTTTTGTTTCCAGATGTTAAACTGAGCTTTGATTATTCTACCTTAACACCTTTTGTTTCCAGATGTTAAACTGACAGCTTTGATTATTCTACCTTAACACCTTTTGTTTCCAGATGTTAAACTGAGCTTTGATTTTTCTACCTTAATGCCTTTTGTTTCCAGATGTTAAACTGAGCTTTGATTTTTCTACCTTAATGCTTTTTTGTTTCCATATCTTAAACTGAGCTTTGAATTTCATAAAATCATGCTGTCTTTTCATTATTTTCTTTTTGACTTATGTTATTTTACTTTTATCATTACAGTACCCCGAGCATGGTTTCTATGGCATCGCAGACAAGATTTTATTATTTCGCCATGATTCAAGCAGCTCGAATGTCTTACAGATCCTCAACAATGCCTGTGAAGTGATTGACGGTTGCCTCGTGGAAGTAGTTCTCTCAGGTCTGTCTGCGTATTGATTTTTAATGGTTTCCTCTTTATTTAACTTTTACCACTTTTCATTTTATAAAATCTAAATATCATTTTTTCGGATACCAAAATAAAAATTTTAAAGTAATAAAGCATCTAACAGTATAAAATCTAGCTAGATTGCGTAGATAATGTTGGCTAGCCAGTGGCTCTATACTGGTAGCAATATAGGCTCGTCACTCTCAGTTCAAGCAAGTTATTGATTTTTACCATTTTCTGTCACCATACTACATGTAAGTCTTGTAAACACAGGTCCATCTTAAACACTGTTGTTGTAGCACTTTGCTTCTTTAATTAATGGAGAGAAATGGGAAGAATTATTGTTAAGAGATAAAAAAAAAACCTCCCTGAGAATTATCTCGCTGACATGTTTAGGTGTAAATGTCCTTATAATGGCCAGGAACAAAAATAATTGCACTTCTTGTTCCATTTGCCACTTACTGTCTGGAAAGTGTTGACAGATGATTTTGATTTTATTTTTTTTTTTAATAAAGAAAAGAATGTAATACGTCACCTCAGTGTAGTAATAGGTTATTGGTCCTTATAAATCATATAAGGAGTTAACCCGTTACTGCACTAGAGTGACAATAGGTTTGCTGACTAGATCTCCTTTTTACGTAAGATTATTATGTTATTTCATGTAATATATTGGAATCACCATTAGATTGTTTAGCGATCATTGCAAAATAGAAAATGCCTAAATGCCTAAAAGACAAAAAATTTATTGTTTGTATTGATTTCGAAACTTTCATATCCATTGGGAGACTAATTACTACAGCTTAAATTGCTCTGAAAAATAATATTATTGTAATTAGAATTCTTTATTATTTTTTTTCCAATCAATTTTAGCTTGACTTTTCCATGAATAGAGAGATATATTGTACTCGCCCAGACGTCTGTGCCACACAGTTAAGTTTGTATGTGCAATTTGGTATCTCCAAGACTACTGAAAACTTCACAAATTTATTTTAGAGCATAAAAGGAGGTCACTATCCATCAAATGCCCACAACTCTACAATGGCTTTTGACAGAATAATAAAAAATGCCACATAAAATTCTACACTATCCACTATCAATCATTGAGAATAGCCAAGTACGGCGTCCTACCTGAGCAGCTCTTGTGAATATCATTTATTAAGTATGTTTTCAAGTAAATGATTTCACTTAGATTTATATTTTAGACAGGGTATATTTGAAAGTAACTATAATGTTTCAAGACAGAAGTCTGAAAAAGAGACTTGGAAGGTCAAGTTTTGTAGTCCAAGGTCAAGTTGCGTAGGTTTTGTTTGTGTAAAGAAGATAACGTCATATAGTTTTACTGAAAACATCTCTTCTATTTGCATTACAATGTTTTGGTACAAGTGGTAACACCTGGTTACATCAAAGGGAACTGGTCTTTGTTACATTTTAATGCTTTCCTAAACAGGCAAACATTGTTTTAAAGTAGGTAAGTTCATTAGAATTTTTGTGAGACAAAAAGATATATTTAGAACAGTTGAAGGGTGGTTTTTTGTGTTGTTATGTAAAATGATGACTAAAAAAAAATGTTAATTTTTGTTTTATTGGCAGAAAATCTTTTAATTTGAAAAAAAAAAATAATAATTTGAAAGTTAAGAAGAATATTAATTTCCTTTTGTATCATAATCTTGTTACTAAAATTGACTACTTTAAAGTTTAACATTACATTATGTAAAATTCTTGCTAAATACTTAATCTGTGTGTGACTGTCGGATATAGTTTTTCCTTGTTGATTCCTTTCATATTAAAGTTTCTTCTTTTTTTATCTCACAGAATTTGACCGGCTTTGCTTTTAAGCTATGTCAGTGAAATCTGGGATAACAATATATTATTAATTGTTTTATGAAATTTTAAATATTATAGGTATCCACATTTTTTTCCCATTTAAACTTACATAAAATAAGAATCTATAGGGTTCATAAATTTGTGTCATATATAGTTTTTCCTAGAAGTTCAATTTAATTTTTGAAATGAAAATTCATGAGTGATTGCATAAAACATTTAACACTGGTATGATGGTATTTATATTTCATTTCAACATTAATGTGAAACAGATTTGCCATAGATCATTGTTTTGTCTTTTAATATATTCTGTTATAGAGGAAGACAATTTATGCAAAAATAGATAGGCAATATATTTGTCTAAGACTCCTGCTTAATAGGAAATGAATATTAATAATGTTTTTCCTTGTTGTTTAAATGAATGATTTGTTTTTGTTGTGTTTTTTTTTTTGTTATTGTCAAAATGTCGTAAAATGGGAAGTATTTAAGAAATTACGATTCAAAATATGTTCTGACATGCAATGTTTTTTTTATTTGCATGACTTAAGATATTGGTTAGGTTACTAAAACAATATGATGATTTACGTCATTTCAAAATTTGTGATGCTATTACGTTGTAAGATGATTTTGCGGTAATGTACTTCATAAAAGTCAAGAGTATAAGAGCCAAAGCTGCATAAAAGGGCAGTCTAACTAGACTCACAGTAAAGTACTTTCAGTTGCTTAATTGTGGCGTTAAGCATTGCATAGACTAGGCTTAAAGCTGCATGCCTCCAGATGAGCCAACTATTTCAAAAAAATCAAACTTGAGAAAAAGTGTACTAATTTTTAAGAAAAGTTAAAAAAACTCAAGATTTAAGGCATAATTTAATTGTTCAATTTGTCTTATTATATAATGACAGATTTGCAGTATTTATCACAATATTTCTACTGCGTGACTAATGCAGTAAGGGCTATTAAAACATATTTTGACCTCTTTTTAGTACCGTAATTTACAATGGTTATAAATGCTGTTTGTAATGTGTTAATTACATGTATATTTCTTTGTTAACTTTTAATATTAAATTTCTTTTAATATTTTACTTTTAAATACATTTTCAAAATTTTCAGAATCTGGAGGCATGCTGCTTGAACGAATGTGTTGGAACTCACAAATAACAAATAAAATATATTTTCCTTAATATAGTGATAATTATACGTATTACCTATATTTGGAAATGTTAGAACTATGTTTTTGATAATATAAATAGTATTTCCAGTTTTCATGTTGTTATATAAGTTATTGGAAAAATTCATGTGAGGTCATGGCCAAAGTTACTTGTCAAATATCAGCCCTTAGTATAATAAATCTGAGTGAAGTAATAACTTTTGTGTCATTTTCTTATTTTGATACCTACTGTTATAATGAGGATTTGACTGAAAAAACATTACAATCAATATTTATCAGATTGGGTTTTTTTATTAAATGCACGTAATGGTGTCCCGGAATTAATGTTATCTTACAACCCCTAGGATGCACATGTGCTTAAAATGTCATTTTTCTGACATAGAAAATTAGTTGCATTGGGTCATCTTCATTAATGTGGATTGGTCTACAGTATGGGCCGATTTTCCGAAATATTTCAGTTATTGACAAAAACAATAGAAATGTATCATTTGAATATTCTTATAAAATATTACTGGGGAAAAAAATGTTGATAAAGTTCTTAGTGATTTAGTATGAGTATTTAATTATATTATGAATAATAATACTTTGACATAGAACAATTTATTATTCGCTATACATTACATGATATGAATATAGTATGTAATATCCGATCATTTAATTCTCACACTCGCCAACATCTTCCATATACAATTCTTACATTGTTTGTTGTTATGTCTAATAAACATAATTATTTATTGTAATACAGACCTTTCATTATATACCAATTCACTTTAATGAAGTGGTACAATCATGTCACTACAGACTATAATAGATTATTTTCTTGACCATCATGCTGTAAGTTTGTAAAAAACATCACCACCCCTTCACACAAACAATGGTTCTATTACCTCAAAAAATATTTTATTGTGTAAGTGACGAGGGTCAAAAATGTTTTAATCAGGAGTGCCATGTTCACAATAGAGATGCTGAACTCATGGTAAAAAGATTAAACTATCCTGCTGTCAGTTTCTAAATCTATTTATTGATTATAATGATAATTAATACAGTTTGCAAACAGGTGATGCCAGGTGAAATTAGGCAGGGCTTATCAGCTAGTGGCTATATTACTAGCTGACCAATAGTGAATCAATATAACCATATCAAAAAGTCTAGGGCTTTTAAATCAAGGGTGTTTTTTATGGCTGTAAGGTCTTGACACCATAACACTGTATTTTGAGATTCATGTAATTAATAAGTGTACAATTTGATGTCATATGTTATCATACTTCAATTAAGATAATGGACATGTTGTCACCTTAGTGCAGTAACAGTTTATGTCTTTCTAAATTTAATAGGAGTTAACTACTTATTGTACTAAGGTGACAATGTGGCATGTGACAGTCAATAAGTTTTGTATGATCACTAATGTTCTATGTAGGTGATTTTTCACAAGAGGGTAACATGCTCAAGGTCACTTGCTGCAGTGGCCATCTTCCCTCTGTTTGCCCACTGTGACTTTTCTTAAAAATAACCGTTGATCATACTTAATCAGTTGGTCACTTTGTCATTGTTACTTTATAACAACACCTTCAATAGTTGACTAATATCTTTGATATTTGGTGTTTTGATACCTTCTATGGACTTCTAGCCATATATAGGATTTCAGGTCAATTTAAACCATGTCAGGGTCCCCATGGCTCAAAATAGATTTTCCATGGATTGAGGGACTGCTGAATTACATGTACTGTAAAGACACTGCACCCAAAGTTTAAGGGACTTTAAAGCATTATTTGTGTTGTATTTTTGTTTTATGATGATGATGTGGTAATTTACAAACTTTATAGGGTGAACTGTGCTCTATAAGGATGAATTAAATTGTGTAGATGAGCATGTTCACAATCAATGATTTGTCAAGTTGGTGCTAAACGGTTTTATGTTGTATGACAGTACGACATAGAGAAATAAGTTTCACACTGCCCCCATATAATGTATAGTTTAAGAAGGAACTATTATGTAATTTATTTGTATATATTCAGCGAAGGCAACAATGGAGGAGAACTATTATGTTATTTGTTTGTATATTTTTTAGCAAAGGCAACGATGGAGGAGAACTATTATGTTATTTGTTTGTATATTTTTTAGCAAAGGCAACGATGGAGGAGAACTATTATGTTATTTGTTTGTATATTTTTAGCAAAGGCAACAATGGAGGAGAACTATTATGTTATTTGTTTGTATATTTTTTAACAAAGGCAACAATGGAGGAGAACTATTATGTTATTTGTTTGTATATTTTTTAACAAAGGCAACAATGGAGGCCCGAGAACTATTATGTTATTTGTTTGTATATTTTTAGCGAAGGCAACAATGGAGGAGAACTATTATGTTATTTGTTTGTATATTTTTAGCAAAGGCAACAATGGAGGAGAACTATTATGTTATTTGTTTGTATATTTTTTTTTAGCAAAGGCAACAATGGAGGAGAATTATTATGTTATTTGTTTGTATATTTTTTAACAAAGGCAACAATGGAGGCCCGAGAACTATTATGTTATTTGTTTGTATATTTTTAGTGAAGGCAACAATGGAGGAGAACTATTATGTTATTTGTTTGTATATTTTTAGCAAAGGCAACAATGGAGGAGAACTATTATGTTATTTGTTTGTATATTTTTTAGCAAAGGCAACAATGGAGGAGAACTATTATGTTATTTGTTTGTATATTTTTAGCAAAGGCAACGATGGAGGAGAACTATTATGTTATTTGTTTGTATATTTTTAGCAAAGGCAACAATGGAGGAGAACTATTATGTTATTTGTTTGTATATTTTTAGCAAAGGCAACAATGGAGGAGAACTATTATGTTATTTGTTTGTATATTTTTAGCAAAGGCAACAATGGAGGAGAACTATTATGTTATTTGTTTGTATATTTTTTAGCAAAGGCAACAATGGAGGAGAACTATTATGTAATTTGTTTATATATTTTCAGCGAAGGCAACAATGGAGGAGTTACAGATACGACCACATCTGTTATTTGTGCATTCCTACAAGTCACCACACTTCTGTGATTTTTGTGGAGAAATGTTATTTGGCCTTGTCAAGCAGGGAATCAAATGTGAAGGTATTAATTTAACTATAGCAGCAATATTTACATTGACAGTATTTAGATACTTGAGAGATTTTTATGCCCCCACAATGTGGGAGCATATAGCATTGCACTTGTCCGTCCGTCCGTCCGTCCGTACGTCCCGAAATCTTGTGAACGCAACTCCTTTTAAACCAGATGGCAGATTTTGCTTAAACTTACAGGGATGAACAACCTTAATGTGTAGATGGTAGTAAAGGAAGGAATTTTTGCTGCGACCAAATTTAACAGAATTATGGCCCTTTGTTGATTTTTTCACTATATACTATGTAGAAATTTTGTGAACGCAACTCCTCTTAAACCGGATGGCAGATTTTGCTTAAACTTACAGGGATGAACAACCTTAATGTGTAGATGGTAGTAAAGGAAGGAATTTTTGCTGCGACCAAATTTAACAGAATTATGGCCCTTTGTTGATTTTTTCACTATATACTATGTAGAAATTTTGTGAACGCAACTCCTCTTAAACCGGATGGCAGATTTTGCTTAAACTTACAGGGATGAACAACCTTAATGTGTAGATGGTAGTAAAGGAAGGAATTTTTGCTGCGACCAAATTTAACAGAATTATGGCCCTTTGTTGATTTTTTCACTATATACTATGTAGAAATTTTGTGAACGCAACTCCTCTTAAACCGGATGGCAGATTTTGCTTAAACTTACAGGGATGAACAACCTTAAGGTGTAGATGGTATTAAAGGAAGGAATTTTCACTGCGACCAAATTTTACAGAATTATGGCCCTTTGTTGATTTTTTTCACTATATACTATGTAGAAATTTTGTGAATGCAACTCCTCTTAAACCGGATGGCAGATTTTGCTTAAACTTCCAGGGATGAACAACCTTAATGTGAAGATGGCAGTAAAGGAAGGAATTTTTGCTGCAACCAAATTTAACAGAATTATGGCCCTTTGTTGATTTTTTCATTATATACTATGTAGAAATTTTGTGAACGCAACTCCTCTTAAACCGGATAGCAGATTTTGCTTAAACTTCCAGGGATTAACAAGCTTAATGTGTAGATGGTAGTTAAGGAAGGAATTTTTGCTGCGACCAAATTTAACAGAATTATGGCTCTTTATTGATTTTTAGTTTTCAACTTGTGGCACATGTAGTCCAAAAAATATTTGACCTAGAGTCATAAGATTGACAGAACAGTGGCGTGTGGGGGCATCTGTGTCCTATGGACACATTTCTAGTTTGAAAGGACTCCACCAAGGTTTTTTATTGTCATGACAGGACTGGAAATAATTTTCCAAGATTGATATTCCATGTTATGTTTGTCTGGCCCAATAACTTTTGTGCAAAATTTCAGATCATTTGCTATCAGAATAATTGTTAAAATTGTGAAAAATGACACAGAATTACAAAATTTCAGTGCTCTAAGTAAAGAAAACAAGTCATCTGTATTGATAAAGAAAATTGGTTCAAGGAGGAAAAGATAAGCTAGTGTTAGCCCTTAAGTAACTTTTTTCCCCTTTTATCTCACTTGATGCTTTTATTGAAACTTGTATTCCTATGCAGGATGTGGCCTAAATTTCCACAAGAGATGTGCCTTTAAAATACCCAACAATTGTTCGTATGATCGTCAGCGTCGAACGTCTACCAGCAGTATTAGTAGTCTTTCATTCTCACTGAAAGACAAACCAGAGCCCACAACACCCACTGAGGTATGTATTAAGTTCACCCCTCTGAGGTTTGTATTACAGAGTATGGCTGTGACAAGTTATATACAGTGACAGATGATGAAAGACATATGATGATGGAAAAAAACAAATGTCACTGTAATTAATCCTATTAAAAAATATCTTGGTCCCAAGCTTACCAATTATTATATTTTATGCTGTTCATTCAATATATGGATAGCCATTTCTGTTCAGTTTTTGGAATACTTAAGTATATAAGATATTGAGCTCATGAGATAACTTTATCTGGGATGGGTAGATAAGGTCAAAGGTCAAGGATTCTGTGGACAAGGTCAAATGTCAAGGATTCTGTGGACCAAAATTTTGTATCCTGTTGCATTGTGCATACATCATTAGCAGCATTTTATATGTATAATGATGTAATATATTTCATGGGGTCAAACTGTATGTATACCCTTTAAGGGTGAAAGGTCAAGGTTGTGTTGTTTAGAGATAAGAGAGCTTGAATGTCTGTTTTGTTATTGTTTTGTAGCTTAAAGAGTTTAATGTCTATGTGTACTATGCTTGTCTAGTTGTGTTTTATTTGTTGTTTAATGTTGAGTGCTTTAATTGTTATATGAAGGTAGGCATGATTGAGTCATATTGTTTTTCCATTAATGGTCAGAATATTAGCTCTTTGTAAGCTGTAATCTGATACAAATTAAAAACCAACAAAGAATACCAAAGGTACAAAAAAACTACCTACTAAAATGCAGCTGAGAGCGTCAAGCTTACAAACTTAAAGTTGATTTTGGCAAAGCACAATTTTGACACTGGTGATGTGTCTAAAGTCAATTATTCTCTACCACTGATTGGCATGTAGCGAAATTGATTACTATGAAGTTATTGTGAAAAGCAGGCTTTTATTTAAAGAAAATTAGTAACTACAAGTAAATAATTTGAAGACAGTAGATAAGTACTGGTTCATAAATGAAAGCAGGTCAGTGCTGGTACATGATATAATTATGTTCTGGTACATAAAATTTAAAGAAAGCAGTAAGTACTGGTACATAATTTAAGGAAAGCAAGTTAGTACTGATACATGATTTAAGTAAAGTAGTTTAGTGCTGGTACTTAATTTAAGGAAAGCAGGCTAGTGCTGGTATATAATATAGTAAAGTAGGCTAGTGCTGGTATATAATATAAGTAAAGTAGGCTAGTGCTGGTATATAATTTAAGGAAAGCAGGCTGGTGCTGGTATATATTATAAGTAAAGCAGGCTGGTGCTGGTATATAATTAAAGGAAAGCAGTCTAATGCTGGTATATAATTTAAGGAAAGCAGGCTAGCACTGGTATATGATTTAAGGAAAGCATGCTTAAGTGCTGGTTTATAATTTAAGGAAAGCAGGCTAGTGCTGGTATATAATCTAAGGACGGCAGGCTTGTGCTTGTACATAATTTAAGGAAAGCAGTCTAGTGCTGGTATATAATTTAAGGAAAGCAGGCTGGTGCTGGTATATAATATAAGGAAAGCAGGCTGGTGCTTGTATATACTATAAGTAAAGCAGGCTAGTGCTTGTATATAATCTAAGGAAAGCAGGCTATTGACAAGGAAAGCAGGCTGAGTGCTGGTAGGAAATGAGAATTATGAATACATTTGTAATACTAGTGTGCATTTAAGATATAGTCTGATGTTGTTGTATGTAAAGATAAACTGGTTGTCATATTCAGAAACAGAACAAATGTCAAGCACCTGTGTTAACAGCATAGTTAAATACTGTATTGACAGATTTCTTGTATGACCATTTTGCCCAGTTTTTCTAGTTGAAAAACTTGTAATGTATTTGGCATAAGGTCAGTGTCTCTGTCAGCCAAATATATAAATAAGTCTTTGCTTAAAAAGAAAAATATATCTTATTGATTGGTTTGAGTATGTTAGCTGGATTTTTAAGTATATTAAATCAACATTTTTAACCCTTAACCTGCTGAAATTGTGAAATGGATTTGTCCAGCTTTGAGTTTGGACCAGTCCATTCAGAGTTCAAGGGATTTCAATATGAAAAATACAAAAATTGAGCTTCCAACAGTTCAATGAAGTCTGGGCCAACTGCATGTATGTGTAGGCTACCCTGGCTCTGTATTGGTGGCAAAGGTTCATCAGCAGAATATTTGTTAAATAAAAATACGTTTAAGAATTTTTGTACATATTTTGTATGGATTAAAGTCACTATCACTCACTTTTTGTTCCACTTTTCAAAGAAATTTAAGTCTCTTATCAGTGTTTCCATTTGGTTAATCCTTTTTATAAAAATGCATTTTTCATAAATTTTTAAACACAGAGTTTATTGATGTTATAATTTTGAATACCTGTTCAATCTCTGAATTTTAAAAGGGTAGGTAATCCTAAATTTCATTTTTTGCACAGTTATGCCTCTTCTAACAAAGAATTTCCTTTTATTGATATATTCCCAAGTAGGACCCTTACTATCTTTAAATTTGCAATACCCACTGCAGTGACACTTCATCAATGCTATATTTAGATTTTTGTCATGAAGACCATAGAAGTTGCTCATTCTCTACTAATAAAATAGAATCATATTCAAAATGGAAAGATAACCTTTAATTTCTTTTATCAACACAGTTATGTCCCCTTTTCAACTTTGTGTTGGTTGAGTTTACAAAGTGAAGGCCTTTTTCTTAAAAACCACTGCAGATATTTAATTTCAAAGTCGAAAGCACAGCTAATGATTTATATGTTTTATAGTCGTCATTTTAAAAATGAATGCCCAAGGTCTGGCTCAGGTGCAATTTCATCGGATTATGATGATTTCATAGAATAATATATTGTAACATCTTTTTTTTTTTCAGATAAATCTTTTGCATGATATGCAAGACTGTCAATTAAGTTAAATAAAACTGAAAATTGAATGAAATTTATTACAGCTTTACTAGTAGTTTATGTGACGAGAAAAAGCAGTTTTTCATGTAATGACATTTTTAGTTTATTTTGACCATTGTGTTAACTGTAAAAACTGTATAATGGAACATTTGCTTAGTATAGAAATAGTTTCTTTTTTAAGTTGTAGAATTTATGGTTAGCTTGTAAAATGGTAGCAGCATTTAAGTAAGAGAAACTTTTTTTGACAGTCTGTGACTTTTCTGTATAGCGTATACCCCCTTGTTTAAATGCTCCATCCAAAATAAACACCCCTGGAATTGTTTGTGTCAAGAATAGAATTGGTATTATTCTGTAAAAAGAACTCCACTGAGGCTTATGAACATTATGGGACTAATAATTTTTGGGGGATTAATGTTCCATTTGATGTAGGTCTAGACTGATAACTTGTGTGCAATTTTTCAGATCATTTGCTCACTCACCTTTTCCATAAATAATTCTTGTAACTGTGAAAAATGACCCGAATTGTAATGGTTTGCATAATATGCTTTACGTTAAAATTGGGCTATATGTAGCACCCATAAATTATACGGAATAAGTCACTTTTTATATGTAAAAATTTGGTTAAAGACACTTTGTGATCTTACCATATTTAGCAAAGTAAGTGAGATAAATCGCCCTACATCAATCAGGTACTTGTGTATTATTACGGGCAACCCTGTTAAAATGACTTTATAGGAGCAGAGTTATATCAAGTACCGGACATAATTCCTTATAACACATTAAACCAGGGGGCGTTTAAACTGAGGGTATACAGTAATTTAATTCTGTATCATGAGTAATATAGGAGTAAATTTATTGTGTGATATGCTTTGTTGTAGAACTGTACCACCATCTCTCTACCTCCTTCCCCCGGGCCAAGGAGCCCACGACACATGGGCTCCCGACCAATCAGCTTTGGTCTGTCAGACAGCAACCCAAGGAGAACAGAATACAAGTACAGTGTATGTATGGCACATGTTTTTAGTATTTGGCTGGTTTCAGGCTTTTAAAGCAGCACACTTCCAGATGCATGTGAAATTTTTTTATTTCTTTTTTTTTTTTGAAAATTTACAATATAATATTATAATTAGTAAAACATTGTCGAGTGTACAAATGAATTGATTTCAGCCAGCCTAGGGCTATTTTTCTATCCACAGAAATCACCTACTAGTATAGCATGTGCTAAGCGTTTGTACGTTATAGCGTAGTGATATGCGTAGATATGTGGCGATAAAATCAGTCATATCAAAATACTCAAAATTTAACATACACTGTAAATATTCATTCATTTATTAGTCTTTTACCATTTTTTTCTTAATGAACAAAAAAATGCTCAATGTTGAAGTTTACCTGACATTTAGAGGTGTTCAGCCTTAATAAATACATGTACATGTACATGTTATAAACAAAGATTTAAGGAGTAAAAAGTCATTTATGGAAATTTCGGTCTTTCATGATGATCGTGACTTTAGTTAGAGATGGCGACACTCCTGCTTCTAAAGGTGTATATATAAAGTAGGTCAAGTCAGGAGTTTTAAGGAGTTTTTCAAAATCAAACTGATAAAAAAAACTTGTAACAAACATCCATTCCATCCGGCTTCAACCTTTATTATTATGCTCTAACTTCTAAGTACATGATGCTATGCATGAAATATGTAAGGCAGTTTACTGAGAATACAATTAACACTCTGTGAGCTTTGACAAAGTTACAATGGCTAGTTTTTGGTTGAATTTACACACTTCTTGGAATCTGAGATTTTTCATGGACCCATTTAGAGAGGTATATCTGTTTGAATAAAATAGTGAAATACAATAAGATAATTGAGTATAAAAGTAAGCCTAAGTTAAAATCTTGTTTTATTCTGATTTATGGAATAGGTAGGGTGTCTGTCTAATGAGACAAAATTAAGAATTTAACCTTATTTCTTTTTTTTCTTTTTTTTTTTTTTTTTTTTTTTCTTTTTTTTATAAAATCAATGCAAGGAAGAAAACCGTCACAAACTCATGAATTATATATTTCTTTATCAAAAATGCATGCCCAGTTTTGTTATTCTGTAAAAATTGCATTGCATTATTAGCCGTGCATATATTTTGTTGTCATTTGCTTTATACAAACTTAGTGTAAAGACGCGCTAAATGTTAGCCTTACTGTATGAGACAATCCAATTTAAAAATGATTCATTTGCACTTTATACATTCTTTATTTTTGGGTATGTGATAAATAGAATATTATATTCGTTAAGTTTCATTACTGAATTTATTGATCTCGTTGGAAAAAAAAAATTTGCTTCAAAGGCTCGAATAATAATAATTTACTCAACTAATGTTCAATAAATTCAGAATTGAACCTACACTCATTAAATGAGCCGCGTCATGACAAAACTTACATAATGGGTTTGCGATCAGCATGGATCCAGACCAGCCTGCGCATCCGCGCAGTCTGATCAGGATCCATACTGTTTGCTATCACTTTCTCTTCTTGTTATAGGGTTTGTAAGCGAACAGCATGGATCCTGATCAGACATCGCGAATGTGCAGGCTGGTCTGGATCTATGCTGGTCGCAAACGCATTACGTTGGTTTTGTCATGACGAGGCTCATATGTTCTCTTGTTATCAAATACTTGAAGTCTTCCTCAAGCTGGAAAATCACCATATGACCTTTAATGTATTGGTGTGGCATAAAACCCAACAAAGAAAAAAAAATTAAATGCAGTAGATTTTGGGTAAGTCGAAGTTGAAGGGACTTACGTAAAAACTTTGACACATCGGGACTTCAACTCATGAGTAGGTCTCAGTGGTAAACAATTGAAGCATTTTATCACACATTTAAACACAAACAAAGGCTGTTGGAACACATGGCTCGGCAATTCTAGGCATTTTAAAGATCCTAGTCTAGGAATGACTTGAATTGCCTGATTTTGTTTTATGAAAAATCTAGAAACTGGTAATTTCTAGGAATGCCTAGTAATACCTAGATCCCGGAAATTAATGGCATTGCCTGTAAACCAGGAAAGAAACAGAAGTTTAATTATTTTTCAGTCTGTTTCTTTTTGTTATTGAAAAGAAGTAAAAGGTAATGTCACATTAGTGCAGTAATGGGTTAACTTTCTTTTTAGTATCCTCTGAATTAGCCCTTTACTTTGTTAATGAGTTACAACTTTACGGAATGATTATCACTTTTAATATCAATGGTAAAGTTACAATATGTGATAATTAACAGAAGATATTGTCCTAGGTTTATAAGACATCTTATAAGGCCAGCCTCACTAAAGATACCGTATTCCTCTTAATATAAGCCCCATGGAAACTAAAATAGTAATTCTGTGTAACAAAAACATTAATGTAGCAGGTAGTTATTCTGGTAATGGTGTTTGTTGCATTGACAGTCTGTTACTTAACCTTAAAAGTTTTATTTCTAAGGCTTAGTGGGTTGACAGGGGGCCTTCTGTATCAATAGAAGGGAGGGGCTTACTGGTATAAAAGGGAGGGGATTGACTTTTTAAGGAGGGGCTTATAATAGGAGAAGCACTGGTTATAAAAAGAGAGAGATACCTTGCACTTTACTGAAATTTATCATGAATCTTTTCACGCACACCCATTTTTCTTTCCTGCACATCCGCACTTATTCTGTAACATTCAACCATTTTATCTTAAGGTGTGTAACTATGTACATGATTTTTGTCTTTAGTTTGTAATAATAGCCCCTCGTGTTTTAATTTTAAAATTGGCTTTTAATTTGAAAAAACAGTCCTTATTATTTCCTTTTTCATTAGTTTTAAAAATTTATTATATATTGAAAAATTGATTTTGAGATAATATTTATATATTAATTTAAGATTAGTATCATTTTCATATTACAGTTGCCATTAGTTACAGACAAAAAGAAATATAAGAACGCTGTTAGAATTAATTTTTTTCCTAGAGGAAAGCGGCAGTTTTAATATCTAAGGGACTTCCATTAGTGTAGTTACTATGGAGTGTTTTAGAATCATCTAGATGAGATGTTTTATATCTGAGGCGGTCTGAAAGCTTTCTAATTCACCAATTTACTGGAACTAAGTGTCTCATTATTGCAGTTAGATTTCTATTAAATGCTGTCTTTTTATGGCCGTGCAGTATGTCTTTCAAACAGTCGGGGAAACATGTCACACTGAGGAGTTGTGAAGTGTGCTGACCAAATGATTGCCGTCTGCTATAAATTAAGCATAATTGTATGTATAAAACATGAAAAACTGTCAAGGATTGTTGACCGTACAGTAGTATTTAAAGAGAAAACAAACACCTTCTGTTGGTTAATTTTTAAAGGTTCAATATATAAATCAATACAGCATTGTAAATAAAGGTCAAAGGTCAGTGAGAAGATTATCATTTAAAAGTTCCATGTATAAACAAATATAGCATTGCTAATGTAGGTCAAAGGTCAGTGAGAAGAGTATCATTTAAAAGTTCCATGTATAAACAAATATAGCATTGCTAATTTAGGTCAAAGGTCAGTGAGAAGAGTATCATTTAAAAGTTCCATGTCTAAACAAATATAGCATGGCTAATGAAGGTCAAAGGTCAGTGAGAAGAGTTTCATTTAAAAGTTCCATGTATAAACAAATATAGCATTGCTAATGTAGGTCAAAGGTCAGTGAGAAGAGTATCATTTAAAAGTTCCATGTCTAAACAAATATAGCATGGCTAATGAAGGTCAAAGGTCAGTGAGAAGAGTTTCATTTAAAAGTTCCATGTATAAACAAATATAGCATTGCTAATGTAGGTCAAAGGTCAGTGAGAAGAGTATCATTTAAAAGTTGTTCCTAAGTCTCACTCAATTTGAGCTTGTTAGATTCTTAACTATTTCTTTATAAAAAATCATCATTAATATTAAAATTTGAATGAAACAACAAAGTCTTGTATAAACTTTACAAAAATTGTGAACAAAAGTCAAGGGTCAAGGTTCCTGTTTTCCGTTAGTTTAAAGAACTTGCAGTTGTGACATTTCATCAAATGTTATAATTGTACTAGTACATCAGACTTTGACACACAAATATGTGAGTCACCCTACATGTAGAAAGGATAGTTATTATTTAAATTTAAAAGGTCAAAGGTCAAAAAGACACTGGCTTTAAAAAAGAACATAAAACTTTGAATATTATATTTTTTCAGCAGTATCATGTAAATTCAGTGCATTTGAAATTAAACAGCCATTAATTTATATATAAATTATAATCTATCTCATTTTAAAAGGGAATATTGAAACTTTAAAGACAAAATATCTTTATGTCAAGTCGACAATTTATTACATTTATCTCATAGACCGAATAATTATAATGGATATGAAAATGATAGACAGCAAACAATACTCAAAGGAGTTGGAATTATTCCTCTTTTATACATATATTGAATAGTCTACAAAAATACAGACATATTGAATAATTCTTGTGTAATTTATATTAATTCCCAGCTGATTCTATCTACAATGGCTGTTATATTCACTGTTTCTATATTGGGATGGAATTTCTGGTATTGTAGTTTAAACTTAAATGGTTTGAAATAAATCCCAAGACCAAACTGTATGATGTTTTAATTCTTAATGCATTTGTTACTATATATAGTAACAAAATTGCTTATGATTTCAACTGATACATTGTATGTGACTGTTTTTGGACTGAAAATTCAAAATAATCTGCCTGCTTCTAAAATTGAAACTATGATGTCACATTTTTTGTCATCAAGGCAAGTAGCTTTAAAGTGAAATGAATAATGCCTTCAGGGTCATTATTATACCCCCGCACAACAAAGTTGTAAGGGGGGTATACTGGAATCAGCTTGTCCGTCCGTCCGGCTGTCCGTCCGGCCGTCCGTCCGTCCGGCCGTCGGTTTTTTCTTGTCCGCCCAATAACTTAAGATTCCTTTGACCCTTAGTCTTCATATTTGGCATGGAGGTTAGTCATGATTAGTAGATGACCCCTATTGATTTTGAGGTCACTAGGTCAAAGGTCAAGGTCACAGGGGCCTTGACTTCAAAAAGCTTGTCCGCCCAATAACTTAAGATTCCTTTGACCCTTAGTCTTCATATTTGGCATGGAGGTTAGTCATGATTAGTAGATGACCCCTATTGATTTTGAGGTCACTAGGTCAAAGGTCAAGGTCACAGGGGCCTTGACTTCAAAAAGCTTGTCCACCCAATAACTTAAGATTCCTTTGACCCACAGTCTTCATATTTGGCATGGAGGTTAGTCATGATTAGTAGATGACCCCTATTGATTTTGAGGTCACCAGGTCAAAGGTCAAGGTCACAGGGCCTTGACTTCAAAAAGCTTGTCCGCCCAATAACTTAAGATTCCTTTGACCTACAGTTGTCATATTTGGCATGGAGGTTAGTCATGATTAGTAGATGACCCCTAGTGATTTTGAGGTCACCAGGTCAAAGGTCAAGGTCACAGGGGCCTTGACTTCAAAAAGCTTGTCCGCCCAATAACTTAAGATTCCTTTGACCCACAGTCGTCATATTTGGCATGGAGATTAATCATGATTAGTAGATGACCCCTATTGATTTTGAGGTCACCAGGTCAAAGGTCAAGGTCACAGGGGCCTTGACTTCAAAAAAACTTGTCCGCCCAATAACTTAAGATTCCTTTGACCTACAGTGTCATATTTGGCATGGAGGTTAGTCATGATTAGTAGATGACCCCTATTGATTTTGAGGTCACCAGGTCAAAGGTCAAGGTCACAGGGGCCTTGACTTCAAAAAGCTTGTCCGCCCAATAACTTAAGATTCCTTTGACCCATAGTCTTCATATTTGGCATGGAGGTTAGTCATGATTAGTAGATGACCCCTATTGACTTTGAGGTCACCAGGTCAAAGGTCAAAGATCACAGGGGCCTTGACTTCAAAAAGCTTGTCCGCCCTATAACTTAAGATTCCTTTGACCCACAGTCTTCATATTTGGCATGGAGACTGGTCATGATTAGTAGATGACCCCTATTGTTTTTGAGGTCACTGGATCTAAGGTCAAGGTCATAGGGACTTTGACTTCAAAAAGTTTGTCCACCCATTAACTTAAGATTCCTTTGACCCACAGTCTTCATATTTGGCATGGATGTTGATCATGACGATAAGGTGTCCCCTATTGATTTTGAGGTCACTGGGTCAAAGGTCAAGGTCACAGGGACCTTGACAAAAAAAAAAGCTTTTCTTCTCAATTGCTAAAGAATGTCCTGTCCGCAATGTATTGATTTTGACATTTTCACATTTGAAGCATGTAGAATACATAACTTAGCAATGCACTGGCTTAGTAACCTCAGATTTGGCAGGGAGGTTGTCCTTGAGCTCTAAATGGCCACTGTTGATTCTGACAAAGTGGTATGCGGGGGTATTCACGCCATGATAGTGGCAGTTCTAGTTTATTTTGCGGGTCAATTATAACCTTCCAGCCCTACTTTGCCGTGAATTAACCTCTTATTAGCCAACTATAGCGGTAACAAATTCTGCACATGAGCAAAATGCAGACTGAGATCATTGGCACATCTTTTCTGTCTGTTCATTTACATGGTGTGCTTTTCAGTCAATATATAATTTGTTTGAAAATTTTCCTTGAAATGATGAATGATTTTGTGAAGATATTAAGTATGGTAGGGGTTAAAGTAATCATCCATAAGGTCGGATGTCGTCTGTAAATTTCAATACATAGATATTGAATAATACTTTTTTCTCCTGAAGGAATAAGGATATTTTTCTTCCAGGAAGTTAGAGATTATATTAAAATTGCATTTGTCCAGTAAATCAAATATCAATTTCCTTTTTGAAGCATTTGAAGGTTTACATGGAAATAAACCCTTGTCTGAAGGTGACAACTTAATACATGTATATCTATGTGACCCATGCAGACCATAATTATCTGATCATAGTCTGTACGTCATAATATATTTTGAAATTTTTCCTAAAAGCAGATTGAAACATGGGCAGGCTCGAGGGATGAGAGTTAAAAAAAGAAGATAAAATGCTTATAAAGAATGCATTCTATGTAAACTTATTCAAAATAATGAAGTTTTCTGAATTTTTCTGTATAATTTAAGTGTTTGAATATTGTAATATGTCTTGTATTATATATTTCTGCATGGACAATCAACTGAATTTGTTAAGTTTATCAAATAACTGCAGCAGAGTTAGGAGTAATCAGCAAAATTTTTCACTTTCTTCTAGAATAAAGTTTTAAATTTGGGAATAAATGGCCATCAAGGATGGTATCTTTTTACATGTATTTGACAGCTCTGTTCCTAATTAAAGGCTTTGCATATCCAATATAACTGTATAAGTGGATATTTTGGTGTGTCAAAAAGTTAAAATTTTTAGACATTTTGTGCGAGGAAATATTAGCAAATCATGCCAGGGTAGAATTTAATGACAGATGGTTGATATTTAGGCTTGAGGAAATTTTTGCGATTTTGGTCAATTTGAGAAATTTGCCATATTTCTGCATGGCTAACTTAACCCACTTATAGGGTATTATTTCAGCATAGTAACGTATAGTGTGTAGATGATGTAATATGATGATGTCATTTCAGACATTGACTGTACCTGGTCAACCTATTCTGGAGGGACGTAACAGCCGATCAAAATCATGGAGTGGTCGGCCAATCTGGCTGGAAAGAGAGTTTGCAAGTCGTATCAAAGTGCCGCATACGTTTATAGTTCATAACTATACGCGACCCACTGTCTGTATGTGGTGTAGAAAACTCTTGAAGGGACTTTTCCGGCAGGGCGTTCAGTGTAAAGGTCAGTTAATGAGAGAGATTTTATATCGTTATCTTAGCTGTTGATTACAAATGTTAAGAAAGATACAAGTTTATATAATTCATTTGTCAAAAGTCGACTATCAAGTACTAGTGTCCCTACAAGGAAAATTATGTGTTGCCACAGATTCAGCCCACACCTAAAGGATGATATCATTGCCCTGCCTAATCTTACAGTTCAGTTGCACTTAAATAAAGGAAAAACATAGTTGATCCTCTTGCTAATTCACATCCACACCTTTTCCTGTTTGAGTTTAAAGACCATATTAGTTTACTTTAAATATATTTATTAAGCTTGATTGTGAAACAAGTTCTTGCAACTTATATTAATCACATCGAATCCGCTTCTTGGAATCAACTATTATTATAATGGCGTCATATGAAGAAACATGGTTGTGACCTGATAAGGGCACAAACTCGTGATCCCTTGGTTGAGTGGTAGACACCCTAAACCACTAGGTCACGGCTCGCCCTTTTGATCATATTGATAATGGGATTCAAGCCCATAATGTCTGTGATCATTAGTCATTTAGGCAGATTAAGTTTTTAGAAAGATTTAATACTGAACACAGCCTTGCTTTTTATATGATTATCAAATGCTTTTGTCTTGATTGATTATGAAAGCCTGAAATGTTAATCAATGAGATGGGCAAAAAAATAAAATGCAGCTCATAATTTTGGCACCAACCAGATCCAAGGATCATACAATAAGAAAATTTCTGTAACCTTGGCTTATTGATTTAAATTTTGTTTGACATCAATTTGTATCAACAGCATAATATATATATCATTAAATATATTAAGTTTAAAAATATTTATGAGAAATTTAAGGCAACTCTAGCAATTAATTTTATTATTGGTATTTTAAAGCAAAAAATACTGAAATAAAATGTTTTCCCTTTGCTATTGGAAAGTAATTGTTTATTCCTTTACTTTATTTTCAAAATTTCCTTCTTGGTTCAGAGTTTTCCAATTAAACTGTATTGGTAATGAAAGGACAAATTTAATAGAACAAGTGTCACATTTAATTATTTCCAGATTGCAAGTTTAACTGTCATAAGAAGTGTGCTCCACAAGTGCCCAAGGACTGCGCAGGAGACCTGCCTAGTGGAGAAGGTATGTAAAAAAAGAAGTTCAAATCTCGTTTTAAAATTTAAAGCAAAGCACTTTCATAAATGCATCAAAATTTTCTCTTAAAATACGTCATTTATTGGTTAACTGAGTTTCAAAAATTAAGATATCCTCAAAACCAAAGTGTAATGTTACATGTAAAATAGCTGAAAATAATCTTGAAGCCAAAGTACTATTTGGCAGGAAATAAATGTTGAGACATTTCAGTATGCCAGACTTTATTGTATCAAATAGGTACAAATGTTCTATGTCTTAAAACCAAAAACTGTTGTTTTGACCTGCAAAATCTATATTCTGCCTTTTCCTCTTGTAAATTTCTTCTTAAATATTTGATGAGTATATTGATGTTTGATGTTTTCATCCAGTCTCAAAAGGAGAAGTAACCATAGGTTAATAGAAATATATGTTTTACAACACCTCAAAAATTTTTCTTTTCCCAAAACCGTATTCCCTACAGAATTCTAAAAGGAATTTTTTTAAAAAAAGGGGAAAACATTTTTAAAACCAAAATAACATTTGGAAAAAAAAAAAAAAGGGCAAGCCCCTGTTTCAAAAATTTATTGGTTATGCATCTGCAAAAATTTTTGGGTTGTCAATAATAGTTATGTATCATGCATCTGAACATATTGGTCATCAAGCCGCACATGGTATCCCAGTCGAACATATGGGGTCATAAAACCTCACAATGTAAATTTTGCCAGCTAAACATATTGGGGTCATAAACCCTGACATATGTGACTTTTCCCCAGATAACATATGACAGTGGTGCAACAGGTTTTTATGGATTTTTAGCTTATGAATGAAATCCCAAAAATTGAAAATTTTAGAGCAAAAAAATTTTTTCAGCAGAAAGTTGAACCTTATGAAGTAAAAAATTTAACTACTTAGTAATTTATTAAAAAGAAAGCGTTTTTTGGCACAAAGGGTGGGGGGGCTATTTTTGTTTGAATTTTTGATTTTTTTAAACATATACATACAAAAACAGTTTCAAACAAGGGGAATATGGCAAAAGGGTTATAAAATTTTCTCTAAACTTTAGCAAGGGGTTTTCCCCTTAAATTTTGGTTGATACTTTAAGACCACCCTAAAAACCAACCCCAGAAAGGGACCAAAGCCGGCTCATTGCGCAGTCTGATCAGGACCCTGCTTTCGTTTATATACTTAAACAAGTAGAAAACGATAGCGAAAGATGGATCCATCAAACTGCTGGATGGCAGGCGGGTCTGAACCATGCGGGCGCAAACCCCATTACTTTTGTTTTTGTCGTGCATGGCTAAATTTATATTAAATTTCCCACATGCTTTTATATAGGAATGGCAAGGAGTAGTCTGATAATGAAGAACTCATTTGGATTTATTGTCGGCTAACAATAGTAATACTGGAGTACTGTTTAGAAAAAAGTATCCCTTTATTTTTCCATTGTATATGTATATGAGTATAGGGAAATAAAATTGTGTAGAATGGACTTCTTAATCAGGCAATCAATAATTTGACAAGTTTAAGAAGTACACAATAACTACTTCCTTTATTTCATTTTCCGTAGCTGATGACATTTTAAATTACCAAACAATGTTTTTGCTAAAAGTTTTTTAGGGGGATTTGAATTTTAAACCTTAAAGTTTATGTTTAATTAACAACTTAAGTATTATAAACCGAAAAAAGGTTTTTTTTTTTTTAAAGGTAGTTCCTGCATTATGATACAGCAATTCTGTTAACAAAAGTGGATCAGGGTTGGGGGTCATTTATTAAAAATTCCCCAGAAAAATGACAGGTTTGACAGAAAAGTTGAAAATAGATAGACTTTGAAATTCGTAAGAAATCTTCTAAGTAACCTAATGTACTCAATTGTAATATTGGTAATGGCTGAACCCTCGAGCACTGAAGTCTGTACATGTGCGTTCCTTACTATAGTGAAACCTTATTCGGTGCCATGTTCTTTTATCACTGGCTAGTCCAGTATTTTGAAGACAAAAATTATTTATTAAACCGAACACCGCATTGCCACCAACGAGAACCTTACTTTTTTAGGCATACATAAACCAATTGATTTAACCAGGTTGATTGCTTGTTTTTGACTTCAGAGCATCTGCTTTGTAATTTATCATATTTTCTGAAATTGTGCCAAGAAACATTAAACAAGAAAGTTCTGCTATATTATTGAGGATTTTTATATGTTAATTGATTGCTTGTTTTGACTTAAAATTACACCAAGAAATCTGAGATTTGTTGTGTATTTTTAACCTCCTAAGGCACTAAGAAAAATTCTTTAAAATTGAAAATATTGAAAGCCTTTAATGTTTTTTAATTAACAAAGCATGTTGGAACAAGTAAAAAAGAAACTCCAAACAGAAAAAGAATTTTTAGATTCTTCAGAAGGATTCAAAAAGACTTGTTTTGATGATTTTATTTCCTAATCTGATATCACATTCTCTTTGTAACCTGCATGCATTAGGTAAGAAACATGCAAACTTTTGCCGCTCTTTCACACAATGCATGTATCAAAAAGGAGAAAAAAGAAAAAAAAAACATCAAAAGTTCCATTGATTTTCTAATTAACCATCCCTATTCAGTTAGTACTTATGTTTTTAAATTTTCCCAAAAAAAAAAAAAAAAAATTCTCAAAAGAAAATTCTCAAAAAATATAAAATTATATAACATTTATTTGATATCTTATATATTGAACATAAATTTAACAGTATTCCTATATATATAAAATATTTGATATCCTTTCCTTTATATTGAACATTTGATATCTTATAAAGGAAACTTTTGATATAATGTATATTAAATATTTGATTTTTTATACATATATATCAAACATATGCTATTCTGTATATTAAATATTGATATCTTATATATTAAATATTTGATATCATATATGTTAAAAATTTGTTATCCTGCATATTAAACATTTGATATCTTATATATTAAATATTTGATATCTTATATTTAATATTTGATATCTTATATGTTAAACATTTTATATCTTATATGTTAAACATTTTATATCTTAAATATTAAATATTTGATATCTTATATATTAAATATTTGATATCTTATATATTAAATATTGATATCTTATATGTTAAATATTTGATATCTTATATATTAAACATTTGATATCTTATATGTTAAATATTTTATATCTTAAATATTAAATATTTTATATCTTAAATATTAAATATTTGATATCTTAAATATTAAACATTTGATATCTTATATATTAAATATTTGATATCTTATATGTTAAATATTTTATATCTTAAATATTAAATATTTGATATCTTAAATATTAAATATTTGATATCTTATATGTTAAATATTTTATATCTTAAATATTAAATATTTGATATCTTAAATATTAAATATTTGATATCTTATATATTAAATATTTGATATCCTACATATTAATTATTTGATATCATATATGTTAAATATTTGATATCTTATATATTAAATATTTGATATCTTATATATTAAACATTTGATATCTTATATATTAAACATTTGATATCTTAAATATTAAACATTTGATATCTTATATATTAAATATTTTATATCTTATATGTTAAACATTTTATATCTTAAATATTAAATATTTGATATCCTACATATTAATTATTTGATATCTTATATGTTAAACATTTGATATCTTATATGTTATAAATATTTGATATCTTATATGTTAAATATTTGATATCTTATATGTTAAACATTTTATATCTTAAATATTAAATATTTGATATCTTATATGTTAAACATTTGATATCTTATATATTAAACATTTGATATCTTATATAATAAACATTTTATATCTTATATATTAAACATTTTATATCTTATATGTTAAACATTTGATATCTTATATGTTAAACATTTGATATCTTATATAATAAACATTTTATATCTTATATATTAAACATTTTATATCTTATATGTTAAACATTTGATATCTTATATATTAAACATTTGATATCTTATATGTTAAACATTTTATATCTTATATGTTAAACATTTTATATCCTATATATTTAATATTTTATATCCTTTATATTAAAGTAATGGTTTTTTTCCTGTGTATAAAATGTTTGATATCATGTGTATTAATTACATTCAACATTATAGTACATGTGTATAGCTTTCATATTATACGTTTGATATCTTTTGATATAACACATTTGACATACGCTTTATTTTGAGCCTGTTCTATTTTCAGTATATTTTGAGCAGAGCGACGCATCAGAAGTGGAGAGTACGAATGGGACCGAAGTTTCTGAAATACAGGAGGACGATATGTTGCTTTTGGAAAATGATAACGATAATGATGATAGTGACAGGAAACCACCTCTTAGGTATGCCATGATATTGTTTTAGCCCTGACCTTGCGGCAACCGGAGGTGATTAACCTTTGCCAACAGTATAGAGCCAGGCCAGCCTGCACTCTTTCCTCGACTTACCTGAAACTTCAATCATCATTATACTTTTGACTCGATTTACCATACATGCCTTACTCAACTTATCTTACACTTAAATCACCATGCACTCTTCACTCAACTTCCCTCACACATTAATTACCTACCATACAATCTTTACTCAACTTGTAACCTTATACTAATATATCACCTCACACTTTATCACCATTTACTCTACTCAACATTCCTTACACATTTTTATGCCCCCGCCATGTAATGGCCGGGGCATATAGTGTTACCCTGTTCCGTCATTCCGTCCTTCCGTCCTTCCGTCTTTCCGTCCTTCCGTCATTCTGTCATTCCGTCATCATCAGTTTCCGTTCATTATCTTAAGAACGGTTGCACACATTCAACTCAAATCTGACATATGGATATGTCATGAGAAAATACAGGTCAAGTTCGAATTTGGTCATGGTTCGATGATTTTTGGCAGAGTTATGCCCCTTTTACTTTGAAAATAATATGAAATTTCAGTTTCCGTTCATTATCTCCCCAACGGTACAACACATTCAACTCAAACTTGACATATTGATATGTCATGAGAAAATACAGGTCAAGTTTGAATTTGGTCATGGTTCGATGATTTTTGGCAGAGTTATGCCCCTTTTACTTTGAAAATAATATGAAATTTCAGTTTCCGTTCATTATCTCCCCAACGGTACAACACATTCAACTCAAACATGACATATTGATATGTCATGAGAAAATACAGGTCAAGTTCTAATTTGGTCATGGTTCGATGATTTTTGGTAGAGTTATGCCCCTTTTACTTTGAAAATAATATGAAATTTTCAGTTTCCGTTCATTATCTCCCCAACGGTACAACACATTCAACTCAAATTTGACATATGGATATGTTTTTGGAATGCCCAGGCCAAGTTTGAATTTGGTCATGGTTCAATGATTTTTGGCAGAGTAATGCCCCCTTCACTTTGAAAATAATATGAAATTTACAGTTTCTGTTCATTATCTACCCAACAGTGTTACATATTCAACTTAAATTTGACATATGGATATGTCAAAGGAATGGGCAGGTCAAGTTGGAATTTGGTCATGGTTTGATGATTTTTTGGCAGAGTTATGTCCCTTTCACTATGAAAATAATATAGATACATCTTAGGAATAGGCAGTTTAAGTTTGAATTTGGGCGTGGTTCAATGATTTTAGACAAACTTATCTTTCCTGAATGTTGGAAAAATTTTGAACTTTCAGTTTCAGCACTCATACTTTTAGCCATTATTTTGGCTACAAATATGCAATATGCTATTTTTAAAAGGTTAAGACTGAATAATTTCAGTGCCTTGAACATTGTATGAAAATGGTTTATGTTAACATTGAAATGTTTTAAGGGCTTTGAACTTAAAACGAAAAAAATAATTAATGCAGCATCTGAAATTTTGGCTGCATGCGGGGGCATCCGTGGCATGATGACACATTTCTAGTCTACTAAACCTTCCTCACACTTTAATCACCATACTCGACTTTCCTTACACTTAAATCATCATATACTTCTGACTCAATTTACTTTACAGATAAATCAGCATGCACTTTTTGCTCAACTTTCCTTACACTTAAATTACCATACACTCTACTCTCCTTACACTTATATCAGCATGCACTCTTTACGCAACTTGCCTTACACTTAAATCATTTTGTACTTTTGACTAAATTTACCTTACACTTAAATCACCAGGCACTCTTTACTCAACTTCACCTCACCATTAACCTGTATGCAACACTTAAATCATTTACACTTTACTCACCTTACACTTTAATCACCAGACACTCTTTCCTCACTTAAATTATGATAGTGTTCACTTGTTTCTTAGCTTACCTTTCTCTCTCTACTCAAGACCTTCTTGTACTATTAACATGGAAACTTCCACTTCACCCATCAACATACTTCAGTGCCTACTTTAAAACAATTATTTCATTGTATACATGTTTAAAGAAGAACACTACTTGATATACTTATAAAAACTTGTGAAGTTCATTTAAGTATTGTCTATTTAACAAAGAAATAAGCCGCGTCATGACAAAACCAACATAATGGGTTTGTGACCAGCATGGATCCAGACCAGCCTGCGCATCCGCGCAGTCTGATCAGGATACATGCTGTTCGATATTATTTTCTCTACTTGTAAAAGGGTTGGAAAGCGAACAGCATGGATCCTGATCAGACTGTGAGGATGCGCAGGCTGGTCTGGATCCATGCTGGTCGCAAACCCATAATGTTGATTATGTCATGACACGGCTCAAATTCTTCCTCAACATTCAACATTACTAATTATATACAGTTTAAATGAGGTTGCGGCATGCAAACTAATAGAACCACTTTGGTGGTATTTAACTGCAGTGCTTTATTGGATTATAATGAATACACATATAAGGTAATGGGGTGGTTTATTTGTAAATAAACAATTTAGTATGGTGCTAGTAAGTAGACACTTAATTTGAATAAAAGAAAGGTCGTCAATTAAGGCGGTGCTTTTAAGTATTTTGCAATACTGTAAATTGTTTAAATGATGAATGTTTGATCAAATCAAGATCAGAAAGATGTAAAAGTGGTTTGATAAGAATGTGGAATTGGATTATTCTTAAGAAAGGTTTTTGTAAATTTTATTTTGATGATAAACTTTTTTCACTGTTGATTTTGTTGATCGTCCACAGAACATTGGTGTGAGCTAGTATTTGTACAATAACGCTAAAATGCTTGGACATCAGTTGTGAATTTATGAATCAATATTTTTAAGTTGTTTTACAGCAGATTTGTAGGAAAATTATATAATAATACTTTTTATAAAAATAGTTTATCTATTATTCTCCATCTGATGAAGTAAAATTTGGTTAAAATTTTGCTCGTAACTTAATGTATCATTAACCATTGAGTATGTTCAGTTGAAACTGGAGGGGGGGGGGGTTGTAGGCTGAGTTGTCAAGTTTGTTGATTTTAAACCACTTGCCCCTCACGGAATCTCGATGTGAACTTCAGAATCTTTCATGTGAGGAAGCTATCCTGCTAGCTAACAGAGCGTCTGTGGTTCAACTCAGGTGCCCGTTCATGCCTGAAATAATGTATGGAACTTAAAAAAAAAATATTGGTGATGAGTTTCCATGCAAGATCAAATTTTATATATCGGTATAAAACTACTGAAGGTACTCAGTAACTTGAAACTTTTGTCAACATATTCATATTATTGTATCTGCCCAAGATCCACAACTCTTACATTAATTTATACTGAATTACTCCCCTTTGATAATTGTAGAACATTCCATTCTAGCTGATGTGTAAGTGTAAAAAAGTGAAGCATGAACTTGAAAGTTCTTGTTAGTATTTATACTTCACAAATGTCAAGGTAATATTTAATGTAGATGATTTGGGGTAAAGTAAAGAATGGAAATATTAACTCCTAAAAAGAGCATTATATCTTTAAGGAAAGATATCTGTCTGCTTGTATCTTTTTTTTTCATTCCATTTAGTTCCATTTTATACTTATTTTACTTATTTAAAATTATGCCAAGAACTGATTTTAAAATCCAGTCAGTAAGTGTGTAATAGAAAATTTTCAAATTCATAGCTTAAAAAAAAGATGTAAACATTGTCAAAAATCACTGTTTTAATTTCTCTATAACACTTTCGAGTCAATATTAAGACAAACATTTATATGCCAGTGAGCATATTTTAGCATGCATGGCCAGACTATGTTGCTGGTTTTATAATTTTAACATTTGTGATCCTAAAATCCCTTAAATCAACAATGGACATGTCCAATTTATAAGGAAGTTCATAAGGCAAGTCCATTACACAAAGTCTGCTGGGTAAATTTCTGTTGTTTGAATGTGAAAATAAAATTAAATCTGTGCTGACCTATATGTAAGAGTTAATAAAAGTATACTTCACTTATAAAGAAATTCTGTTTATAATTTTTGTCTAACTGGAATTAATGTCACAAAATTCTGTCGGTTTCTATTCCCCTAGCTATGCTCTTGGCTTTTGAATTTGATAAATATAATAGTACATTTAATGTATTTGCCAGGTTTGGGTGTTCAATATAGCAAGCTAGTCATTTGTTATTTAGGAAAGACATGTGCCTTATGTCTTTATAAAGATCAAGAATTGCACACTGGGTCTTTATTGATTCTGCATAAATTTGTTAATACAGCAATCATGCATGTATCAAGCTTATGTATCTGCTGCAAAAATTATTGTTTGAATTTTACAAAATAATGCTTCCAAAATGCTTTGACGAAATAAATATGGTAGTAAATTGCCTTAAAAGTGAATGGTGAATAGACAAAATGAATAAATCCCAACTTGAAATAGCAGATTGATATTTTGTTCCGAAACATTTTATTCTGTTTAACATACAGAATTCATGTATTCTTAAATGATAGAGACATTCTATGCTACAACTCTTTCAAGAAACCACCATAAGATTATGGAACCAATATAATTCTATTTTTCCTTTTGATTAATTTTATAAAAAATATTTCATAAGATATAGCTTTATACCCTTTTGAACCAAGTTTGTATTTGTTAAAAAAAAAAAGATAAAAAAAAACCCAGAAAAAAATTTCCCTTTTCTTATGTTTCTCTTCTATGAATTACAGACACTCTTCTTCTACTGTCTTCAAAGAAATTGTTTATAATGCTATGTTTTGCACTTTCAGAAATTTTATCATATGCATTAAAACAATAATAAATGACTTCTGGAATTGTGCATGTTTCTTATTTAGGAAAACAATTTTAAACAGGCAAGTGGGTAGGTTGGGTCTTCAGAGAAATATGAATTTCTGCTGTACTTTCAATATCGTGAAAAAAGACAAACCTTTATTTTGATCTTGAAGGAAATATCAAATGATTTACGATACTAAAACTTTAGGGCCCAGTTACACAGACGGTCGGTCCCCAATCGGTCATTAATTTTAGATTTAGTTGCTGTTATGATCGGTTGTCATGCGTGATTTTATTTCTGGTTTTCTGTGTAAATTAACGGCCATCGGTGACAGACAGCAAACTCAAACGGGAATGGGTCGCTGAAATACTTTTGGTTTTTATCGTTTGTAAATCGGAGCTAAATCGGGCGTAACGCTGATTAATCGGTGTTTGATAGCTAGTCATCAGTGGTTAAACACTTTCCGTCAGATATGGCCGGTGATTCATATTTGGTTATCTTTGTCCGATCGGCGATATCGGTGATTAAGAGCTTGCACATCTCGTGATATAGGTTGCCGTCGGTAATTTTTAAAATATTTTCACCGATCGAGAATTTTAGACGTGTTTAAAAATCCCAATCGGTAATTTTTCACGGATGAAACTTATCTTTCCCCAATAGCAGTTGATAGGTGGAAAACAGGTGACCAATAGGTGATATCGGTGATAAATACGTTGTCATCGGTTCACTCCATAAGTTGGCTAAAAAAACTACCTATCAATCACCGATGGCTCTGTGTAACTGGGGTGTTACTTTTTATCGTGAAGGAAATATCAAATGATTAACCATACAGAAACCTTTATTTTGATCTTGAAGGAAATATCAAATGATTTACGATACTAAAACCTTATTTTTTATTGTGAAGGAAATGTCAAATGATTAACCATACAGAAACCTTAATTTTGATCTTGAAGGAAATATCAAATGATTAACGATCAAATGATTTTCCATACCAAAACCAGATTTACATTGAGTAAGTTCACAATATTATTTTGTCATTGTATGTTTTTCAGTCCCACCCAGAGTAGTAACATACCCCTGATGAGGATTGTACAGTCTGTAAAACACACAAAACGTACTGGTTCTAAAGTTCTCAAGGAGGGATGGATGGTACATTGTACTGATAAGGACAGCCAGGTTTGTTAACTGACATTTCTCCATTGTATTAAAATTTCACATGAGGGTCCTCTGGTCATAATGAAATTTATGAAAATTTTAATTAATCTTACTTAAAGGTTCAGCGTGATTTTATACACCCACAAAGGGAGCATATAGATTTGAATAGATTTGAACTTGTCATAGACTTGCCCTGATGTCGGTCAGTTCCATATCCAGGCTGTCATGCTGCCTATCATTAGACGGACAAAACATAGGAATGTTGCAGCATCATGTTGGGATATTATTATCAATCCAAGAATGGAAGGATGCAGTGCTGAGGAGATCTAATTTACATTATGTAGAATATATGTGTTGAAAATAAACTACATTTTGTAAATCAAAAATGCCCTGTGACCATGTTTTAGACCGTTTTATACTCAGATTTGTTTTTTTTGGTGATAATATCCCTTAAATAACAAATGGACTGTTCCAATTTAAAAATCAAGGTCAGTTCATTATATGAATTTAGTAGGGTAAGTTTTGAAAATATGTAATAATTATATAAATTATGATTTGATATTTACAGAGGAGAAGACATTACTGGAAGCTGGACAGTAAGTCAGTGACAATGTTTCAGAACGAAAATTCATCTAGATACTACAAGGTAAGTGTATATCGTGGGTTGACCGCAAAACTGTTGTATGTCTTTGGTTATTTCATATCAGTTTCTTCAGTTTTGCAGTTAAGCTTCAATATAGGGATAAAAATGCCATGTTCAGGACTTTGGTTTTACAAGTTTTTCAGTGTATACTTTAATAGATTGGGTGCTGTTGATACCTTGCATGTGCAAAAGTAAATTTACTAAATATAGCTTAAATATCACTTAAGATGTTAACGTGTGATTCTAAAAATTATACATGTATTGATATGATTGCGTTTTAATGATGGAACTTCTTTAAATAGATCATTTTTCCCCATATCCAAAGAAAAATACAAAATGTGTGATTACAGTTTTCCATAAAACAAAATGATTTAGCATCATGTTAAATACTATTTTTTTCTGTGAATTTTTATTTTTCATGAATTTTTTTTATCTGCTCGACAGGAAATTGCATTAAATGCTATCATTGGAATAGAATCTTTCAAAATGGACCCTAGTAATGAGTTTCCTCGAGCGCCGCACGTGTTTGAGATCCGCGTACAGAACATGATCTACTATGTGGGTGAAGATCCTTTCTATGGTTCAGAGGAGGGTAGTCTTGTGGTCTCGACGGAGAGTGGTAAAGGGTTGGAGCAGGCACGACACTGGGAGCACGCTATCAGACAGGCGCTGATGCCGGTCACGCCAACGTCCAGCGTTAACCAGGGTACACAACCAAAATGTATGCATGAGGCCTTTCTTTCTGTTCTATATTTAGTGGTAATTTTGTTACACAAGAGTATACCCATGCTTACATGCCTTGGTTTTTAGCTTGTCAGGTTTGAAGAAAAAGCGAAGATATTATGATGGCTGTAGCGTTGTCCTAGTCTAATCATGCAAAAACTTTAATGTAGCCCATTTTTCAAACAATGTCAGAAGTTTTGAACATGAAACTTGGAATACTTGCTTGAATGTGCAGTTGTTAGATAAGGGGCATAATTGTGAAAGCAATATTTTTGGAGTTATGTCCCTTTTAGATTTAGGATTTTTTAACAGACAAGCATTTACACCCAGTGCTCTGGTTGATATTTTAATTATCTAGATGTTCTTTTTACTTTATTCGGGGTGGGGGGGGGGGGGGGAGTGGGAATAGGCATCTTTGATTGAGACATGGTCCATTACATCCAGTAATCGGATCGGTATAAAGAAGATGTAGAAATATCAGCAAAATGTCTTAGTCAAATATTAGCAAATAATCTTGAATTTTGAATTTCTGATCTAGACTGTCAACAAATAGAACATTAATCTCAAAAAAAAAAATTCCAATCCCCTCATGCCAAAAAAACTCAGTGGAGTCCCTTTAAGTCTTTTAAGCAATAAACGAAATTTCGGTCTCCCAAAGAGTGCTGCATTGCAGGGATCGCACTGTAATTACATCAGTGTTGTGGAAATTTCTATAAAAATTTGGATGAAGTGTGATTCCTCAGAAGCATTGATCACAACAAAATTACATAAAAATTGCAGGCTCAGTTTGATTGCGTCTGTACATGAGGGATAATGAAAAAGTGCAATATCCCTCATGCCCCTAGCACCGGCTTGAGTTCCAACACTAAAAAGTGCTTGAAATGATTATCACGAAGGACCAGAAAAACACTATAAACTCTGTAAAACACTATGAAATTAAAAAATAACAGGATATTTTATAGTGAAACTCTTGTGTAACAAGTTTTTCTCTATTCCAATCTTTATTTGTTGTTTTTATTTTTCTTATTCTATCCAGACAAACCCGTAAAAAATTTCTTGACATGTTACTGGCACGTAATTTATATTTAATATTTTTTATATTAAAGGCTTAGGAAGAATGTCTGTCATAGAGACTGAAAGTTTTACAAAATGTTTTATTATGTAAATTTAAAACGTCTAGACTTCTGAAATTTTTTTTATTACTTATACTGGCATTAAATCGGCATTATTTCTTATGACAGTGTAGCTTAGTTTGAAACTGACATTACATTCACTTACAAAAATTCAATTTTTAGTTGAATTGCAATTTATTTAATTATTAAGGTTCATGGATACCATTTAAATGCAAGTGAAAATGAGAGGTATCAAACTTTCATACAGTGCATAGAGCAATACAGGACTGTTGATATTAAGTCACTGAAAGATTCATAAAAATTAAGACATTAGGAAGCCAGATATTTTTTTTAGTTTATTTTATGTTGTGTGTAAAATGTTCCTTCTTTCTTTTCTCTGTGTAATATTGTGCTTGTAATCTATTAACTGGTAATACTTGTCAATTGGTAATCCCATGTTTGTACTGATGACAAAGCTCAAGTTTTCGTCTGTCACTCAGGTTTGTTGTCTCGTAAAATCCGCTTTTTTATCTAATTTTGATTACGCAAATCGTGAAATATCCATTGATTTGTTGTCGCATAAATTCCTTTTTCTGTCATTTGTGATATACCAAGTCTAGGCTGAATAGTTCAGGACAGTTTTCAATACTCTCGCACTAAATGTGATATTATGTGTCTCGTGAATTAGGCGGGACAAGTCTGTGCTCTCCGGCTATATGCAAAATTTGGTGAATTAGTTGGGACAGTTATGTGTTCCCCGGCTATATGTCTGATAGTATAGAAATTTGATTAGACAATTACAAAATTCTTAATTTTCTAGAGAACAAAATTGATAAATTGATATTTAACATTCTTCTAAATACAAAAATAGATTATTTTGGTAGATTTCAACACCCCCTTAACCCCCCCCCCCACACACACACAAATTTTATACATGTGTTTGGCTCATTTGTTAAAAAAAAAGAAATTCAGTGCATAAAAAAAGTCATTGTAATACAGATTAAGCATTGGTTATATTCATTTATTACTAACCATTTATGGTTTTAAATTTTTAGCTATTAAAAAAAACACGAAATTTTACTCTTCAGTCTGATAGGTTGTTTCATTTTTATCCCCTCCCCAGTCCCAGTATGTCCTTCCACCTGCTTTCCCCAAACTTCATAAGTACATGCATCTTGATGAGTGCTACCAGCAAGACCGACTAAGAGGTTGTCTAGCTGTCAAGCAACCCTCCCCACCCCCAACTCCGCCCTCTTAGAAAATTGCATTCAGTCAGACCTAATGCACTTGTTTGAATTCAGTTGTTTGAAATTATCATCATAGCCATCATGGTTATATGTATGATAAAGTTAAATTATTCTGTTATTCATCAAAGTCCTTTATAATTTCAGTGTGAAAAATTGCCCACAGAATATTGTTTTGTCGTAGAAAATGTTTTAAGTCAAGTATTTCCATGGTTATTTGTTTCTGCTCAAGGATGAATAACTGACCTTGTAAATATTGCCAAAATCTATTAGGCAAATGGATTATCTTAAGTTTCTTGGTAGAAACTCAATTCCTTTGTGTTTTTCTAAAGAACTACATTATTGATAGTGGGAACAAAAGCGGAAAATTGCAGAATTGTTTTCAATATTTGATTAAAGATTGTGTTGTCTCAGATGTTAAAGCGTCAAGCAATATTTGTTATCAGAGCTTTAGAAAATAAGGGGGAAGAAAGTTTTTCTGGTTGTCATGTCATTAATTTTTTATGTCCCTAGGTTGATAGACACAGATGGGAATATTGTTTTTGGTACATTGGTTAGTCTGTTTGTAATGTTTGCCAGTCTGTCAGTCATAAAACTATAACCTTGACCATACCATGGAAGTCCTTCCATCTTCAGCTTTCAAAATTCACCCCACTTGTGGCTAAGGGGTTGCCTTTAAGGGTTGAAGTATCAGAATTGCAGCCACTGTTTATACCTGCTTGGCTTGGAGACAACTAGAGTTCGAATTTCTGAAGTCTAAGCAGCCCTTAGCTCCAGCAGGTGAGGTGGTTTTGACCCCTGGTGTTGCTTTAATTTTGTTACAACCGAGGTTTAAGCCAAAATTATCGTTCCGGTTTGGCGTCATATGACCTATATTGTGTTGGTGTGCTGTAAAACCAAACAAAACAAAACAAATCAAGCTTCACAGATGCTTAATATACCTAAATGATCATCACTATCTGCCAGAGTTACTAAAAATTACAGGGTCAAAAGTCAAGGTCACCTCAGAGGGGTCATGGCAGCACTCATTTGAATGTAGCACTTGTTATTCTAAATAACTATTTTGTAACCATGGTAATAAAAAAGTAATGGCTTATGACTGCAAGTTTTTATTTTGAGCAATGGAGGGCTTTTAATTTGAAGACTGCATTACATTAAAGTCTTTTACTCAGTATATTTAAAATTTTCTTGATTTTTTTATTTCTCACAATTTTCTTCTTTTGTTATACTTCACATGTGTTTACATTTTTATATGTTTTGTATTGTTTTGTAAATGCATGTACTTTGTTAATATATAAGCTGGTAATTTTGTTCTATTAGTAACTATGTATAATCACAAAACAATATTTTATTAACAACAATAGCTTTTCTCTTTTTTTTCTGTTTTTGCTTTTCTTTGATTTACAGTAAAGTTTTATCCGCATTTCATGGATTTAAATATTTCAAGCTTGTGCAATGAATCATGATTTAGGGCCACTTTGATTCTCAACCTTTATAACTTTAAGGTATCCAAAGGGTCAAATTAAATAACTATTTTCCTGTCTAAAATAACATGTTGCTCCTTACCTCGCATTAAGAGCAATTTCAATTAAAGGTGTGTAAATAGAGTATAATTTTAGGATCAATACTCTGTATTATATAAGTAAAGTCTGACTTAAGGAGGATAATTTTATCACATGACGTGGCTAATGCTTTCAATGAAATATAACCTTTATTAGTATTATTTTTCCTTTCTTTACACATGTTTATTACACATGTTAAGTGTCATGTTTTTGCTAGAGTAATTTTATCTTCTGACTCATTTAGTGCCATATGATAAAAAGAATTGTACTCACTATACTTGCCATACTACTATGGCTGAATGGTTACGGTTGTTATCCTTGAACCACTTTAACTTGCCACGTGAGGAAGCTATTCAGCTAGCATATAGGCGGTTGATTGTTCTACTCATAGGCCATCGATGGTTCTACTCAAAGGCCATCGATGGTTCACTCATAACCCAGTGATTGTTCTACTCATAACCCATTGATGGTTCTACTCATAACCCATTGATGGTTCTACTCTTAGGCCATCGATGGTTCTTCTCATAACCCATTGATGGTTCTACTCATAGGCCATTGATGGTTCTACTCACAGGCCATTGATGGTTCTACTCATAGGCCATCGATGGTTTTTCTCATAACCCATTGATGGTTCTTCTCATAACCCATTGATTGTTGTACTCATAGGGCCATCGATGGTTCTACTCATAGGCCATCGATGGTTCTACTCATAGGCCATTGATGGTTCTACTTGTAGGCCATTGATGGTTCTACTCATAGGCCATCGATGGTTCTACTCATAACCCATTGATTGTTCTACTCATAACCCATCGATGGTTCTACTCATAACCCATTGATGGTTCTACTCATAGGCCAACGATGGTTCTTCTCATAACCCATTGATTGTTTTACTCATAGGCCATTGATGGTTCTACTCATAACCCATTGATGGTTCTACTCATAGGCCATTGATGGTTCTACTCATAGGCCATCGATGGTTCTACTCATAGGCCATCAATGATTCTACTCATAGGCCATCGATGGTTCTACTCATAGGCCATCGATGGTTCTACTCATAACCCATTGATGGTTCTACTCATAGGCCATCGATGGTTCTACTCATAATCCATCAATTGTTCTACTCAGGTGCCCACTCATGCCTGAAATAATGCACAAAAAGGCACCTTTGGTCTGCCTTCATTATGAAAGCTGAAGAGTCACTTAAAAGCCATTACAGATTTACTAGGACCTAAAACCTTACAAAAAAATATAAAGAAAATGACAGCACATGTAGGATCCAATATATATAAAGTCTAAGATTATTGTTGAAGTACTTCCATTAAAGGTCATGTAATAATATGCTTTACGATTAATTTGTAGATGGCCAGGCTAACAACCCAGGTGCCCCTGAAGAACCACATGACATTAGTCAGTTATACCAGATATTCCCAGATGATGTGCTCGGGTCTGGACAATTTGGTATTGTCTATGGAGGTATGAATCTTTGTTCAGACTGGAGAGGGAGGGGGGGGGGAGTTTGTTTTCTTGTTTTTATGGCAAAAGCCTGTGTATGGAATTAAGTTATTAAAGGGAGGGGCTGTTTCTTTTTGTTTAATTTCAATTTTTATGTCAAAAGTCTGTTTATGACATTTAGTTATTAAGGGGAGGGGTTGTTTCTTTTTGTTTTACTTTATGGCAAAAGTCTGTTTATGAAATTAAGTTATTTTATGAATATCAAAACATGGTAAAATTCTCTAGAGATGTTCTAACAAGTTTTCTGGAAAATTTAAGCTTTAAAAGGTTAGAAAAATTTCCAAGGAAAAAGAGAAAAGTCAACATTTTTTTGGGGAAAAAAATCTGATCTGACAATTGTGTTTTGGCCTACTGAACTAAAGTGCATTAAAATTTGTGCCCAGTGATAATATTTTTAATAATTATAGAAGATACAATCAACCGTTGACATTTTCACGCTGATAATCAACAAACTCGAGTCTCCAGGGAATCCTTCTGTGATAAAAGCAATTATTGTATGGTGCAATAATGTTGTCAATTGATGCAAAATTGCATGTAAAAATGTAAATGTAATCTTAAACTTGGTGTATTGTTTCTGTAAAATCCTTGAATGCTTTGAGACAATTAAAACTCAGAAATAAATGAAATTTTTAGCAAGATTATTTTACAAATTGCTGACATTTTTTACAAATGTTATGTTCTAGGGCTCATAATGATAAATTAGGGGTCATTTACCAAATCCATAAGCAAAATTAAATAAAATTTACTGATTAAAGTAGCATCCCCAGATATGCAAAATTTCATGAAAATTTTTTGAAAAATGTATGAAAAAAAGTAAAAAATATTAATAAAAAAAAAAAACTGAAAGGAAGCAATTTAAAAACATTACAAACACACCAAAACCATAAAAACCCAAAAAAAAAAAAAAAAAATTCAAAAATAGCCTTTTTGGATTAATAAAAAACAAATAGAAACATGTAATTTTATGAATTTTTTTTTTCTTTTCCTAGTATTTTATATATTTTTCTCAGGTTTAATTTTCTTGAAATATTTTGGCTCATCTGGAGGCATGCAGATGTAAGAGCTGTAACCAATAGAATACCAATAGAATTATTAGTTGACATTTTTCTGTTAATTGATAATCGGCACAGATTAAATTTTTACTTATTTATAAAATATCTTAAGTAAAGAAAATTAACACAGCTGTGGTGCCCTGTCAGAAGACTATGTCTAAAACCAGCCATAGTTATTAATCAGACATCTTTCATGGCAAAGCTAGCTAGATGTGGTTATTGAAAAACATGCAGACATTTAACTGAAAACGAGCATGAAAATGAAATACTGTATTCCTAGAAAAGATTTCGCGCGTTTTAAGTTAGCGCTTTTCGCGGTAGGCATGATTCCGCGAATCTTTATAGCCGCGAATATGTCACTTATAACAAATCCGCGAACATTTCTAGCTTCAACCAAACATAAACGTGCAGAATATTTATTATAATCTAATTACACAAAAAAACATATAAACGCACGTGCTAAAGAAATGTGTAAAGAAATATGTATGTTATAGATACCTGTTTGGACCCCGAAGAAAATAAATTGTCAGTTATTAGTAATTATCATGCTTATTGACGTCATTCGGTAGTCACGACGTATACAAAAGCATTTACAGTTTGCGTACATTGAATGGCTTGGATTTTTTTGCATGGCGTAGGTGTAATCTTTTGTTAAAAGTACAATAGCAATCAAGTACTACATTGATAAACAGCTATTATGTTGTTAAAATAAAAGCGATGTACACCGATACTGTGTAAAAAACGTATCGACATTTTGAAGATAAAGTCAGTTATGATTCAAATGAGAATAAAAGCTAACGGGTCTGACTATATATTACTGAATCACAAAATGAAAAAGGTAAGAAAATAAGTTAAAAGTGTTCACGGAACAACTGTCTGTGTTCGACTAGTCAATAGATAAAAAAGGTATTGTCAAAAAAAAAAAATTAAAAGTACCCAACAGGCGAGGACATGCATCAAAAACGTAGCCTCTTTGGGCCGTAGCTACTTAATATTCGCGGAATTCGCGGTTACTACAAATCCGCGAAAGTTTGTATCCGCGAAAATGCAGACGTTGTGAAAAACGCGAAATATTGTATCCGCAAACATTTCTAGGAATACAGTATAGTGAAATAATACTTTCAACTCATGTATCGCCAATATTTGTAATCCAATCATTGATATTCTTTGAACTGAATCATTGAATTGTTCACCTTGGTGGTCATAGGAAAATTCTAGCTGGTTCTAATGTTTTGCTACTTGTAGTTAAATTTTCAACAATCTGATAGTTAAATTGGTCAGTTATTACCTAATTTGACATCCTTAAAATGTCCAAGGATGTTAGCAAACGGGTTTTGGTGATTTGTCATTATAAATAAATTGCAGGTAAGCACCGGAAAACCAACAGTGAAGTTGCGATCAAGGTCATAGACAAGATGAGATTCCCGACCAAACAAGAAGCCCAACTTAAAAATGAAGTCTCAATTTTACAGGTAAAATAGATGAAAATTAGATTAAAATTTTTTTAAGGAAATGGTGGCAGACCCTTTGGGAGGGGAAAGTTGTACTCGGTTGGAATGAAAGCGGTATCATTGATCAGATGAAAATAAGTACAAAAGCAACATAATTTTGATGAAAAGAACTAGAAAAAGTTTTAAAATTTTAAATACAAATTTTTGTTTTTTGAAATGTTGACAAAAATAATGCTTAAAAATTCTTTGAAGAAATTTTTAGCCTTTTTTTTACTAGAAAAATTTATAGTAACCAGCACAGGTGTGTGGTGCTAGATTGGTTACTTCTCCCAACCCCCTTTATAACCCCCATAACTTTTCCCATACAAACTAAATTGCAGTGTTTTTTCATGTGTGTGACACGCATTTAAATATTATATATATGACCCGCCAAACACCAGTGGCAATAATAGCACATTTTCTGAAAACTTTGCTGTATCAGCCTACTTTACCTCTCATGATAATTAAGTTACATTTATTTACTTACATGCAGGTAATAATTAAGTGTCTCTAGTATAATTAACTGTAGAGTTTTGAGCACAATAATTATGCTGTTAGGTAGGTAAAAACATACTTAAGAGGTTGAAAGAGCAAATTGTACATAAAATTCACAGCTTCCTATATTTAATTGTATGTTTTGTCCATATATACTGAACTTTTCACTTTTGATAATTGAGCCGTGTCATGACAAAACCAACATAAAGGGTTTGCGACCAGCATGGATCCAGACCAACATCCGCGCAGTCTGATCAGGATTCATGCTGTTCGCTTACCAACCCTATTACAAGTAGAGAAACTGATAGCGAACAGCATGGATCCTGATCAGACTGCACAGATGCGCAGGCTGGTCTGGATCCATGCTGGTCGCAAACCCATTATGTTGGTTTTGTCGTGACGTGGCTCGTATTGTTAAAGGTAAAACCATTGTTGAGTACAATGTGTCTTTGTCATTATTTTTACTAACATTTTCTTATCCAGCTATCATATTATTAAATGAAGGTGGCTCTACTCAGGTACCTGTTGGTGCCAAAAATAATGCACAGAGGGGCACTTGATGTCTTCAAGTTCCGCCACCAGTAACTTGAAAGTTGCCATAATATGACTTATACTGTGTTGGTGCAAAGTAAAACCCAACCAAAAAACCCCCCAAAACATTTCAGACTTTTAATGTTGTCCGCACTTGGCGATGACATGTAGTACTAAAAAGATTTTAAAAAAGTTTACTACCAGACAAAATGTTTATTTGTTTTGTTTGTTTTGCTATTAATGTCAAACCCTTCCTAGCTGTGTTTTGGTTTTGCTTCTTATGTCAAACCCTGTGTTTTGGGGACCTACTCATAGCACTTTGAAATGTTTTCAAATGACTGCATCCTGGGTGTCTAAACAAGTAATCCCAGCAGTGTTGACTGAGGGAGCCAGAGAAGAAACTCGCCTGCAGAAGGGTCAAACTCATGACCCCTAGATTAGGTTTTTTATGCATAAACCCTTCACCACTCTTCCATTTGTATTTGGTCTGACACTTCCCCTTACATTCTTATTCTTTGTCAAGAAATTGACCGTTGTTGTCAGCTATCAACCCACCAGTATGTGCATTACTGAATTTTCTTTGACTGATACAAATGAAATTACAGTTAACAGACATAAAAAAATGGCTTATAGTTTGATGCTGAAAGTGAATTAGTCTATGCAGATAATTTAGTTACATTAATTCAGCCACTGGGTGAAGATAGGCATTACTGCATTTGTCCTATTAGACACTAATTACAGTGAACAATGGGAAGTAATTACCTTGTCCTTTTCTAGAGTAGAGCTTATAAAATACAGATTCTTGATTACAGTTTAATTCCCTGCTTGACAGGATTGGTTTTTAGCTTGACTATTTTTGGCTAATAGAGAAGATAATCCTCTCATGGCAACATCAATGTTGACGTTAATGGAAAATTTGGTTACTGTTTATTGTGCAGATTTGTCTTCAGAGTCATAATTGTCTGTGATTGGTTAGTTCCCATTATGAGAGGATATTGAATGAGTGTAGATTTAATATTAAATTTATTTTAACGAGTTGAATAAAATATTAATATGCGAGCCTCTTTCTGTCATTGGTTAGTCCCCATAAATAAAGGATATTGCTTGAGTGTAGATTTAATACTAAATTTATTGAACGCGTTCTCCACAGCAGCTGAAATAATTTATTTGAAAATTCACTCACCAGTGTCTTAACTGTAGGACACTGACCAAGACCCATAACTCTAGCAGTGAATTTACCGTATAAGTGGTTTTTTCTGCGTGCTCCAAATTCTGCAGTTTTTCCAAATTTTGGCATGTTTTTATTTCTGCGGACTTTATTTCTGCGGCACATTCTATGGACAAAACATAATTTAAATTCTGCGACACGTCTTATCAAAGTCTAAGTCACATTGCCCTCTATTATATTTGCATGTACACGTTCGCATTTGTTTATCGTCGTCACCGCAAAACTGTATAGTAATTACAAACAGTTATATTGTTTGCTTGCAAACAAATATAATGCGTAACAATAGAAAGGTATACATCTTTGATCAGCGTGAAGTAACGTGTGAAAAATATACCCCGGTTGTATGATCTTTAATTGAATGAAAATGATAGAAGTTTACCTATCGTATCCGAAAACAATTAAAGTAAACAACGATTATTTAGCAGTTTTTGGTTGGAATGGTTTGAAATATCTTTATTCTTTAATTAGCATAATTAACAATAAGTACATCCTTACAAACACACATTACATACTTAGCCGACAGCGATTTTATACAACTTGAAAACCCGCTAACCATTATAATCTGTAGCAATGTAGGATACATATCGTAGCAGGATAAGAAATATTCTGCGGTTTTTATTTCTGCGGTGCCGAAACTGACCGCAGAAAACGCAGAAATAAAGTCACCGCAGAAAAAACCACTTATACGGTGGCTGAATTATTTGTCGTTAGGTATTGCATCATATAACAGTTTAGAAAATAGCAAGTTTTCTGCTTCCCAGTTCTTGTTATTTATAGCTTTTACTCTAATGCCTTTAAGAAAGTTCATTAAATTACTGTTACTGAAGAAAATAATTGACTTTGTCATTGTCGTTCATTATGAAATAATTGTCATAATATTATAATTAGCAAATGGATAAATCGGCAAATCGCCCTTTATTTTATATTATAACTTCACAGCTTAAGTGTGGAAATTTCTGTCTGTGATAAAGCTTATTAAAGATTACAATTTCATTTCTAAGAAGTCTTCAACAAAAAGTGCACATTGTAATATTAAATGAGCCGCGTCATGACAAAACCAACATAGAAGGTTTGCGACCAGCATGGATCCAGACCAGCCTGCCCATCCGCACAGTCTGATCAGGATCCATGCTGTTCGCTATCAGTTATCTACTTGTTATAGGGTTTGTAAGGGAACAGCATGGATCCTGATCAGACTGCACGGATGTGCAGGCTGGTCTGAATCCATGCTGGTCGCAAACCCATTATGTTGGTTTTGTCATGATACGGCTCATATACAAGTGCTATTGTAACGTAAACTTAATGTTTGGTATAAATAACAGAAACGTTACATATAGAGCATACATATACATGTAGAGCATAGAATTGACCATTGCTTTATGGAAACAATATATCTTTAATGTTTATAGATTTTATGAAAATATTTCATAATATATCGCTTTATATAGATCTACCCTTTAAATTTTCCTTAGGAATGTTATATCAAGATTGTGTCGTCATAAAATTGGTACTTTGCAAGTAGTCTAGTACTGGTGTAACTCTCCAGGAACGATGGTTAGGCAACTTATTAACCGCCTATATGACTGAAATACTGTTGGGGGGAAAAGGCGTAAAATGAAACAAACAAACAAACAAACAAAACTTTGCAAGTACCTGAATCCTCAGTATGCTATGTTGGTACCATAATTAAACCAATAGATGAAACAAAAAAATGTTCTGAAAAAAGAGAAAAAGTCTTAAGGGAAGAAATAAAATCGCCAGTGATATATTGAACTGGTATCCCAGAACAAATTTTCTGTCAAATTTTCATGTAGAAATAAACCTTCGAGTGAATCAAAATTCAGGCGAGATTTTGTAAAAGAAAATTTCCTTTCCTATAGACAGTGAATTTTGTTTTATATGCGATTAACGTATTAACTGTTATTGAATACGAGACACATGTTTAGACATAAAGTAACGAGACACTTGCAGACATGTTAATGGATTTTATCTCGCAGTTATACGATTTCAATTTTGTAGAATTATACAAGACTTGCAAAAAACATGCAACAATCTAATGTTGTGAAGTAGTTCAGATAATTTTTACGTCTTGACTTTTATTTTATTGATTCAAATAGTAGGCCTTATTTTTTTAAAAGATTTTCAAATTCAAGAAATGTATATAATTATGTGAATGTTAATGTGTTATCAACAAAGCGGAGATTAATGCGCTTGAAATTCATTGCGGTAATTGGTCTTTTTCTTCATAGCACTTGTTTAAAGCAGCATGCTTGCAGATTCATGCTAATTTTCATGAAATTTTGAAGAAAATTTTGAAAATGTATTAAAAAGTATGATGTTATATAGTGAATTACACATTGCAAATGGCACTTACAATCCACGTTAATTCCAGAAAGAGGTCAAAATGTGCAAAAATAACCCTTACTGTGTTAGTCACACAGTAGAAATATGGCAATATTAAGTCACACAGTAGAAATATGACAATAAATACCGTTTTATTACTTGAATTTTAAATCTTTTTACTGTTCTTAAAATGAGCCGTTTTACGACAAAACCAACATAATGGGTTTGCGACCAGCATGGATCCAGACCAGCCTGCGCATCCGCGCAGTCTGATCAGGATCCATGCTGTTCGCTTACCAACTCTATTACAAGTAGAGAAACTGATAGCAAACAGCATGGATCCTGATCAGACTGCACAGATGCGCAGGCTGGTCTGGATCCATGCTGGTCGCAAACCCATTCTGTTGGTTTTGTCATGACGCGGCTCAAATCTTAAATACATTTGTCTCAAGTTTGATACTCTTGAAATATTTTGGTTCATCTGGAGGCGTTGGTTCATCTGGAGGCGTGCGGCTTTAATTCTTGTTCTAAATTAGTCATGTATACCATGTGTGCTACAGAATATTATTGGCATAATATTAAAGAAAATTTTAAATATCAGCTGGAGAACGTTTACTGACTTAATGATAATAATAACATTGCATGTCAAAGTTTTAGGATTTTTGCTGAGACTCCATGTGTTCTGGAGAAATTGTTTTTTTATAACATTTACAGCAGTTCTTACATCAGTATTTTTATGGTAAAAAAATGCCATATTGTATGAGGCAAATTTAAAGAATCTGAATTTCAAAATCAAAACGAGCATTAATTCTCTGAAATTTATGGAAGCATGCATTGATATTGAAATTCCACCAGCACTGATGAAATTACAGGGAAAAAAAACTCTTGCAAATTGTCTTAATTGCGATTTGCACTTTATAATGGCTGCTGGCTTCTGAGAGTATTTGCCTGTCGTTCACGACCATCATTTTACATGAATTTTCATGAGATGTGAAATCAACATAGCTGTTGTTAGGAAGTATAACTACAGACAACTGACCTAGATATTTGAAGTGAAGGCTGTTAAATTGTGTTGCCCTAGAGATGATGTTGAGAGCTGTGATTAATATTAGATTTTAGTGTAATAGACTATCGCCATGGCAATAAAAATGAGCCACATCACGACAAAACCAACATAATGGGTTTGCGACCAGCATGGATCCAGACCAGCCTGCAAATCCGCGCAGTCTGATCAGGATCCATGCTGTTTGCTATCAGTTTCTCTACTTGTTATAGGGTTTGTAAGCCAACAGCATGGATCCTGATCAGACTGCGCGGAGGTGCAGGCTGGTCTGGATCCATGCTGGTCGCAAACCCATTATGTTGGTTTTGTCATGACGCGGCTCAATTGTTTTTTATTATATTTCAGAATCTCCACCACCCCGGAGTTGTGAATCTCGAGAAGATGTTTGAAACACCAGAGAGGGTATGCTCTAAAATATTTTTAAATAAATGAAAGTGTGATTTTTTTTTTCAAGCAACCTTTTCTTGTATTTTCATCTACAAATCATGGGATTTGAGTTGAATATGATGACCTTGATGAATATGAAGAACTAAAATTGAACGGTATGGTTTTTGGGAGAGTTCCCCGTTTTTTGGGACAGTGCAAAAGTACCTTAAGATTTTTCAATTTCAAAGTACTAAAAGTCAGCTGTCATTTACAGTATAGAGTCTAGTCAGACAGTACCAATATCAAGTATGTGCTGGAAAGTCTGATTTTCTGCAGATAGTATAATTTTGTAATAAATGATCCTGTTTATGCTGAAAGGGTTAGAAAATCTAGAAAGATAATATCCTTTGATAGCAGTGAAAATAAAATCAAACTGTTGAAAATCACAGACACAGTTTTACAATAAGTTTTCATCTTAGTATGAGCCGCGTCACGACAAAACCAACATAATGGGTTTGCGACAAGCATGGATCCAGACCAGCCTGCGCATCCGCACAGTCTGATCGGGATCCATACTGTTCGCTATCAGTTTCTCTACTTGCTATAGGGTGTGTAAGCGAACAGCATGGATCCTGATCAGACTGCGCATATGCGCAGGCTGGTCTGGATCCATGCTGGTCGCAAACCCATTATGTTGGTTTTGTCGTGAATAGGCTCAATTATATCCTTTAAACTGATGTACAGTTCCTTTTAACTTACATACAGTTCCACAAGGGGGAACCCTTGTGGCTGAGGGGTGGCTTTTATGGGTTGAGGTATCTGAATTGCAGCAATGGTTTAACTCTGCGTGATCATAAGAGGCAACTAAATGGGTTAGAATTATTGATGTCAATGCATCTCCTAGCTCCAGCAGGTGAGGTAGTTTTGATCCGTGGTGTTGCTTAAAGTTTGTAACACCTGAGGTTAGCCAAAATAATCTTTCCTGTTTTGACGCCATATGACCTAAGTACATGTAGTGTTGGTGTGCCGTAAAACCAAATAAACAAACAAAATCCAAAAGCAGAATGTCCAAAGTAAAGTATAATTTTATGTTATATTGTATGATAATATAATATGTTATAAATTGTATGTTACAGATATTTGTGGTAATGGAGAAGTTGAAGGGTGATATGTTAGAGATGATATTATCTAGTCCTAGAGGTCGACTCAGTGAACGAGTCACCAAATTCCTTGTCTCACAGGTAGGTTTATCATTTATCATCTTGTGATGATTTATTTTTGTTCTAAAGCAGAAAGTGTGTATTGAATTGTAGAATGCAGGAAGCAGTTGAATCTACCCATGCAACCAGTGCAGACTGTCCTACAAAGTGGCATTTATATAATGCTCATTTTTGTTTCTGTCCAGTTGAGTTGAATAAGTAATTTATTTCAAAAGATTAACTATGATAATGGTGATTGATTGATAACTAATAACATTGACCAGTACGTTCTGAACAATATTTATATAAGTTCCCAATGGTCACTTGAGTTATTGATTATTATATCAATTTGAACACATTTATGGCAAAATGTTTACTTATTTTGACTTTTGCCTGTTCACTGATCATTTACACTTGAATGGGCATAATGTCATATTAGTATTTTCCCTAATAGAGATGAATGGTTTCGAAGTCTATTCTCTCACCTTCTAAACTTACTAAACCGGAAACTGTGTATTCTGACCAAAAATTTTCCGCGGTCCCGATTTTTTTTCTTTCTATTTCTTTGTACAAAAAAGCTTCTGTAAAGCGAAACCACCGAATTCTGCAAACCGGAATGATTTCAGTAGAATTTTTGTTCATTTTCAATGTAAATATATCTCCTTAAACCGCAAAGGAAAAAAATTCAAGTCGATTGACATCTATAGATCTTGTGTATTATCAATTGTAATTAAAAATTTCGCACCTTTAAGAACACTTTTGTTGATCAAAGACGGTGCGGTGCGTTCATTAAATTTGAAAGGTTCGAAAATCACAATTTTTAGGATACATTTGATTATTCTTCTTGCTAAATTTGTAAAGCGATGAATTCTTTAAAGATGATAATTATCGGACCATTAGCGGTTACGAAGAAAAAAGATTAATTTGTGATCCGTTAATATTGATTAGCAGAAAATTTTGATTAGCAGAAAATTGATGAAATATGTATACTGCACATCAATTGAGGTACAGTAATTCAGTGGTTTTACTACAGTGTCATGCTATACAAAATTATACTTATAGTAAATTTCTTTGCCAAAAAAGAAGAACTCCGCAATCCGTAATCCTCTCTAAACTGGAAATTAATAAATCTTACAGGCAAAAAAGGTGTACACATTAAGATTTTTAATGGGTAAACTCTTATCATGTATTACAGAAACTGATTTTTAAATAATAGAAAATATATTTTAGCAGTGGTATGTAAATGCTGAGGGTGCGACTGGCCTGAACTTAATTTTTAATACTTACAAACTTAAAACTTGTAATTCATAAAATTCTATATAATTCTGAATTCGAAAAATCTCAAAAGTTTGAAATCTTAATCTCATTCATGTAATGATGATATGAGCTGCATCACGACAAAACCAACATAATGGGTTTGCGACCAGCATGGATCCAGACCAGCCTGCGCATCTGCGCAGTCTGATCAGGATCCATGTTGTTCGCTATCAGTTTCTCTACTTGTAATAGGGTTTGTAAGCCCTGATCAGACTGCGCAGATGCGCAGGCTGGTCTGGATCCATGCTGGTCGCAAACCCATTATGTTGGTTTTGTTGTGACACGGCTCATATATAAATGCCTTCAGTCTTGTTTAAGTGTTTCTCACCAAATTGTTATCTCCTGACTTGTGATCCCGTAGGTATTGTCTAAGTGAGGAAGTTATCAAATGTCTATAATTAATCTTCCTAAAGACTTTAGTTTATCATTTACATAATATTTTCTCTCTCACTTTCCCCTCGTACATTTGGGATTTTATTTTCAGAAATTATCCCACAGATTTATGTTTCTATTCAATTTTGATGAATTGCTTTGACTTGTCATATGATATTTTACCAATTGAAAAAATAAACAATATTATGAATAACATTTTAATTGGACTGTCAAAAGCTTGTAGAGTTTCTTGTGCCAAATAATCATAAAAAAACCAGCATCCATGTTAGTTGTGTGTTGAGATATGTGATGAATTTCATTATATTTTTAAATGTAGTTATTTTACTCATAAAAGACACAAGTATATAAGTAATTACCATTCAAGGTTTCCTAATATTTTAAATTTTCAGGCTTTAATGTGTAGTGAAACAAAAATACTTTATTTAATCTAGCAATGTTTGTTAAAGCAATAATGCTGAAAGTTCACTAAATCATCTTCCTTATTTACCTCTAATTTGCTATGTTTGTATTATTATTTGTTGTATAATGTTTGTTCACTCTTATGCCCTAAGATCAATAAGTTTTGGGTTATGAATAAAGATAAAAATATATAGATATTTGAATAAGCTAATAGTTTCAATTACAGTCAAACTGAAGAGATTGATGAAACATTGTTTAAGGATTGTCAGCAAAGTTAACGTAATAAACATATTTATTCATTAAAAGACTTACCATCTGTAAAACATGGAGTTGATTTTAGCATATTTACTCACTTATAAAACAGGATCTTGATTTTACCTTATTTGACTTGCATAATAAGGTAAGATGACCAACTCAAGTGTTTGTGGATAAGAAAGAAGTTACATCTTTTTGTACCTCTAAAACAATCAAATATTAAAGCAAGATTATGTAGCCGGTGAGTTTTTTTATTTAAAAAGAAGGAAAATAACAGTAAAATATCTTAAATAAATAAATTGCAGGTAGCACAAATTTTAGAGATCAACTTCTAAAAAAATAAGTTGCGGGTAGTACAAATTTGATAAAGATAAAAATGGATAATAAAATGTTTAAAGTTTTCATTCTAGAATTTTTTTTCAGGAAAACCTTGCATCAACACTTTACTATGTTCATTATTGATAAAAGTTGTATAATGAAAATGCACTATTAAATGAAATGTTCCTCTAAGGTTAAGAAAGATGTCATAATATCTGAAAATAACTTTACTTATGAGGTGACTGGCTCATAAGAGTACATTATGATTACAAGTACCAAAGAAAGATGGTTAATATTCTGATGAAGTACACAATTTATTGTTGTTTAGTCGTGAGTTTTTGTGGATTTATAGACACATCAAGGGATATTATCATTTCAGATAAATTGTCATTTGTTTAAGATTTATTGCTTGTCTGTTTCAGATTTTAGTGGCCTTAAAGCATTTGCACTCCAAGCATATTGTACATTGTGATCTTAAACCAGAGAATGTACTTCTCTCCTCAGAGACAGCATTCCCGCAGGTAAATATCCTTCACAGTACACACTACAAACAGTGATTAATATTATTCTGTCCAAGCAGCCAGTAAAGGGACAGGCTAGCCTTCATTTACATGATGTCTGACCAGGCTATATACGCTTTGCTACTTGTGTTTATATGATTTTTAGCTCGACTATTAAAAAAATAGGGAGAGCTATTGTACTCATCGAGTTGTCATGTCGGCACCACACTTTGGTTAAGGTTTTGCTTGCAAGTTGATATTTCCAGAAATGCAGAAGGAAATGTGTTGTTTCTGTAATTTCACACGCTTGTTCTCTGTGATTATCTAACATGATGGGCGCAGGTCCCATAACTCTTAACTCTTCTTACAGAGTTATGCCATTTTTCTTACTGTCAAGCACTGTGACTAGTTGAGCATGCCAGTCTGATTGACAGCTCTTGTTGAATTTTAAATCCCCTAGACTCATTGCACTAGTTCAAAGGGGTAACAGCATGGACTTGGTAATGACCTGAAAATAATCATATTTTTTTCTTAAATATAATTATAGTGACAAATAAATGCCATCTGCTTTAACAGTGCAATCAGCCTGTTTTTATATTTGTATAATATAGCAGTTAAATAGCAAAGATAATGACAGACTTATCCCACCAATATAGATCTAAATATAAGACAGTCTGTAAAACTGTGAAGCCTGGTTGAGTCTATTTTGTGATTTGCTAATTTTAGTAACAAGGTTGTGAAATTGATCCAGTAATCAAGAGACTTCTCCCATTAAAAGCCAAACAGGGGCATCACATTTAAATTATCTTTTCTAAATGTTCATGAAATTTTATACTTTTGACATATTGTTATTGATGTCAAATGCATTTTCATTGCTCTTAGAACTATCTTTGTATATAAATGTATCAATTTTGTTTAAAGGATTAGTACCCCTTGTGGCAGCGGCATCAGAGTTGCTGCCACCATTTAACCCTGCTTGGGTTAGTGTTACAAGACTTGCACATCATTAAAATTTGTCTGTACATACATTAATTTTGTATATCATTATGTGTTGTGTTTCAATTATAGGTAAAACTGTGTGATTTTGGATTTGCTAGAATCATTGGTGAAAAGTCTTTCAGGAGGTCTGTAGTAGGAACCCCAGCATATTTAGGTAAAGTATATCACAGCCTATAATTTAAGTTAGATTGGATACATACTGTGATTTTTAATTATAAAAATTACTTAAGATGGAAAATAAAGTTAAGATCAAGAGTTGAAAATATTTAACTTATGGATTTTGTGTATAAATAAGATTACTTTATATAGAATTCTATATTCATATACATTTTTCATATATTAGCAATTTTAAATTGCAAACTGAATTCTAGTTTGAAATTAAAGGACAACCTATGTTATTTGAGAAATACATGTAAATTGTAATGCATTAATTTTATTGTCTCCCTTATTGATATTACTAGTAAAGTTGTACATTTAAAAGTAATGCTATAACAGTACACAAAATGTATATTATTATATATGTTTTTAGCACCAGAAGTATTAAAAAGTAAAGGCTACAACCGTTCTCTAGATATGTGGTCAGTCGGTGTTGTTGTCTATGTTAGGTAGGTAGTATATAATCTTGTTTTCTTGTTTGATTGACATGGGCTTTATCCTGAATTGATCCTGTTTAATTGGCTTTTTCTAGCTAGTAATTGGTGTTTAATGATCTGAATGCCATCTGTATTCCCCAATGTGGCAGCGGCATCAGAATTGCAGCCTCCCTTTATCCCTGCGTGATCATAATGGGTGACTAAATAGGTTTGAATAACTGGAGTCTTTTAGTTCCAGCAAATGAGGTGGTTTTGATCCCTGGTGCTGCTTGAAGTTTGTAGTGCTGAAGGTTATCAAAAATCATCTTTCCTGTTTTAGCTCCATATGACCTAGATTGTGCCAGGGCACTGTAACACAAAACAAACCATCTGTGGTAATACCAGTATACATGTACAGCAGGCCATTCTACACATCCATACAATTGTAATCAGGCCTTAAACTGTTGGGGCTGCTTGATTTGAGTATTGGCAACCTCTACAATAATAATGGATGGTTCCATAGTCGAAGCAGGAACAGTCCATTACACATGATAGTTTACAGTGATAATGATAATTATATTGGTCATCTAACTCATGTTTTGAATGAAATATTTTACCAGAATACTTCAGTTGATTGCATATTGCTAATGGTAATTGTTTTTTACTTTTGAATATTAAATGGAATATTCTGCCACACTGATAATAATTATGTTCTTACCTAGGAATATCAAATGGAATATTCTGCCACACTGATAATAATTATGTTCTTACCTAGGAATATCAAATGGAATATTCTGCCACACTGATAATAATTATGTTCTTACCTAGGAATATCAAATGGAATATTCTGCCGTCACACTGATAATAATGATGGTTTACTCTTGAACATTTAATGGAATATTCTGCTATATACTGATTATGATTATGTTATTTTCACCCCTGCAGTTTAAGTGGAACATTCCCATTTAACGAGGATGAGGAGATCAGCGACCAAATACAGAACGCAACATTCATGTACCCACCTACACCATGGAAGGAAATTTCACAGGAAGGTAGAATAGTTTATATCTTTTACAAAGCACAGCATGGAATGTTATGAATTATTAAATGAGCCGCGTCACGACAAAACCAACAGTGAGTTTACGACCAGCATGGATCCAGTCCAGCCTGCGCATCTGCGCAGTCTAATCAGGATCAATGCTGTTCGCTTACCAACTCTATTACAAGTAGAGAAACTGATAGCGAACAGCATGGATCCTGATCAGACTGCGTGGATGCGCAGGCTGGTCTGGAACCATGCTGGTCGCAAACGCACTATGTTGGTTTTGTTGTGACGCGGCTCATTTAATTGAATTGTAGAAATATGTATTGACAAACATTAACAGTGTCCTTTTTGTGTCAAACTAAGATGGCTAACAGTGAATCTTGGGACCAGATCGTCACCATAACGCAATAACTGTTTAACTCATAATAAATTTAGGAGAACTTAACTCGTTACTGCAATGAGGTGACAAAATATACTTTCAAAGTTCTGTAGAAAATAATAATTTACCTATTGATAGTTCAGTATTGATCTATATCATTGAATGTTGCTGGTTTTATGATTATTTGCCATTACTGATAAAAAAAAAATTCACTTAACAGTGTGAATAGCCATTTTCAGGCACCATACTTTTCAATGTTATACAGATAAATAATGAAATAGATTTTAGCTAAACAAACTTTAGCTATAATTTCAGTTATTGTATTGTACATCCTTTTCTTTATATTTCAGCAATTGATTTGATCAGTAATTTGTTACAAGTGAAGATGAGAAAGAGATTCACTGTGGACAAATCACTGTCACATGTCTGGCTTCAGGTATGTTCTTTATATGAGCCGCGTCACGACAAAACCAACATAATGGGTTTGTGACCAGCATGGATCCAGACCAGCCTGCGCATCCGCGCAGTCTGATCAGGATCCATGCTGTTCGCTATCAGTTTCTCTACTTGTAATAGAGTTGATAAGCGAACAGCATGGATCCTGATCAGACTGCGCGGATGCGCAGGCTGGTCTGGATCCATGCTGGTCGCAAACGCACTATGTTGGTTTTGTCATGACACGGCTTATATTTTTGTATTAATCCTTACTATTTTTATATCATTATTAAGTATTTATTCGATATATGTTGTCAATATTGTAATTTCATTTTTTACACATTGCATTTACAGACATAACTATAAACTTTAGTTGATTTACCGCACTATGAACTTTAGTTGTCAATGTACATAGCTATGACCTTCAGTTGAAAGACTTATGTTACGAGCTGGCTTATGTAAATGATCAAGGTAAACAATCCACAGTGGTGGGGGTACTGGTTAGGACACCCAGGAAGCATTCACCTTGCATGACTAACAGTAGGAAACAGTCTGGGTATAAAAAGAATTAAGTTTTACTTAAAATGGGAAAAACTAACAGAGGTAACTCTGTGTCTGTCTGCTGTCCCTCTACTATTGTTTATTTGATTCACTCTTAGAAAATTGTTTATGAAGAAGAAGTCTTGTTTATGTAAGCCGTTAGGCAATAGTGTTAATCTAGCTGATGTACAGTACAGGGCAGTCTGACATATATACCGTATAGGTACCGTAGGCCTAGTGGTTAAGGCGTCTGTCTTTGGATCGGGAGGTTGAAGGTTTGAGCCCCACGGGGTAGCGTTAATTGAATGATGAATGTTTCTCGTAGGACTATAATAAACAAGACCTTTACCTTTACCTTTTTTATATACTGTTCTCTGCTGAAGTGGTTAAGGTCATTGACTTCAAATCACTTGCCCCTCACTGGGTTTTAAATCCTACCAGGAACTTTTGATTCTGTCATGTGAGCTAGCTATCCAGCTAACTTACTGAATGTCAGTGGTTCTATGCAGGTGCCCATTCAGGTCTGAAATAATGCATAGAGGGTCACATGGTGTCTTCCTCCACCTTTTAACCTGGAAAGTCGCGTAGTGGTTTGAATATTGATTTAGTAAAGAATAATAAATTACTTAATTAGATATGAATTGTCAGGTCTCTGTTGCGATATTCCATCAAGTACTCTGACAGAAAAATTGGCGTATATTTTACAGGATTATCAAACATGGTGCGATTTAAGAAAACTAGAACAGCTGGTCGGTCAGCGTTACCTTACTCACGACTCAGACGATGAGCGCTGGGAGACGTTCAGGCGAGAAAAGAACTTGAAAGTTTGGCAAGACGTAGGCCAAAAAGGTGTGAATGAAAAGTACAATTTAAGCAAGTCTCGTGACCGTAACACGCCGAGTTCTGGTACCACGGTGTCATGACATAGTGTCGTGGTGAACGTTGTCCGTGATTACTTGTGTTCTGTGCTATCTCATCTCAAATCTCTCAGTTCGATATTGTGTTACTGCCGCAAACAAAAACCAACCTGCATCGTATTATTATTTGTTGTATATGTTTGTTTTTTCTTTACCGGGGAATATGCTCATTTTTTTTATAGATTTATATAGCAGGTTATTGAACTTCTCAGACAGTTTTCATGACGCAAGTAACGAGCTACGCTACAAGATTTTATACTTGAAATGATGGGTTGGAAAAAAGGCAACTTTTAATCATGTACGTTAATTAACAAGTACAGCTGAACAGAGATCATTGACATTTTAAGCCGAGGTTTTCAGAGATATTTGAGATAATGATGTAAAGAATTTAGATGTTGAAATACAATTTCTCTATTTTTTTACGACAGCAAAATTTTGTTCAAAACAGTAAATACGATATAGGTAGTCTTGTTTATAATATGTATAAAAATAGATACTATATAGAGAAATAGGGATGGTTTGAACGGAGGATAAAAAAACCAGATGTTTTGTTTCTGTTTTATAAAAGTTTATTTAAATATTTGTATATTTTGGATATCTAAACATACACTATTGCAAGAATTATACATGTATGTAGTTTTAATATGTACCAGGAAGCATTTATGAATGAATTGAATGAGAATATATGTTGTTCTTTCGCAAGTCGTGTCGACCAAAAAATCAAAAGTTAATATATGCACTTTTCTTGTGTATCCATGACTTGTTATGATATTGTTTTTTCTCTTTTGCATGAATTATTTCAAAGAAACATGTATCATTTATATATTTTTAAATGTAGTAAGTTATTGTTTTATGAAACCTTTATATTGAAAGGGATTGCTTTTAAATGTATTTTTAGATTTTATAATTACCTAAGGCTGTTTTAAAGCCGTAGGTCCATGAATGCAACAGCGATTTAGTGTATATACAACAAATTATCTTATCGGTGTGTTTTGTAAATTTACCAGTGAGATACAAATCATATCACACTGTTTGAAACTTAGTGAAATATAGAATTTTGGTTTCCCTTATACTCTTGAAACTTAGTGAAATATAGAATTTTGGTTCCCTTTATACACTTTTGAGGGAAAGTGAAACTTAGAGAAATATATGATTTGGTTTCCCTTTTACACATTGAAGGAGAGTAGATCACACACAAAAATGGATCAAGATTTTACATAATGTCATAGTTATGTGAAATTATGATGTCATTTGCCCACTGATTTGGTAATATATGATCTGTTTTAATGCAAAACTAAAGAAAACATAGAATGATTAAAAAAAAATTTCTTTGTTTTAGCAAGTATGGAATAAAGTTCATCTTGAAGTGAGATTTTTAATATTTTCACTTTGAGCCTAGAGCTGGTGAAAATATTAAAAATTCCATTGTATAGCAAAATTAATTCTATATTCACTAATTCAAGCAAAATCCATACCAAGGGGTCCAATGTAAAAATAGATTTAAAAGACTGATGTAACAAGTACTAATGTGTACACCTTTATTTCTCTGTCATGCATGTTATAAATATCACCTTATAAATATCACCTTGTACATAAATATCACCTTGACCCATCAATGACCTTGACCATTGTGGTATAATTTTCAAATTTCAGTATTTAATATTAACTGATTCACTGATATTTAATTAAAAGGGGGTTGGATTGTGTTATATGCACTTGGTGTTTTATGAATACACTTTTTCGTGTTCAGTTTAAAGATAAGGTAAAGCAGTCAAGATTTTCATTTTGATAAGACTGGGTCAAGGCCATTATTTTATGTCAAAGGTCATTAAAAGTTTCCAGCAAATGAGAATCTAGTTTAGTCAAAGACTTCTGTAGTTAGTTAAGTTTCAGTTTGTGCAGTAATTATGTTGCCATAAATAACCAGTATTGTTGAAATATTTCTTTCTTAGGAGTAGATATTTTAGTTTAATCTTCTACGAAACAAATGCATTAGTTTAGAGTTGACATTTTATATGTTAAACTGTTGCCACATATTATTCTTCCTTTATTTCTACTGTACTGTATTGAGTTTCTTTAGAGTTTAAAATAAGATTTTTTTATGCGCATTTTATTGACAGTGCTCTTCCACTATTCCAGTAGATGTTCATGTTCACATATATGTGTTTTTCTACCAGTTCATAAAAATAAAGGGCCTCATGCATGTTCACATATGTGTTTATTTACCAGATCATATACATATTCAGATAAGTCCTCATGCATGTTCACATATATGTGTTTATCTACCAGTTCATAAACATGTTCACATAAAAGTCCTCATGTATGTTTGCATATATATGTGTTTATCTACCAGTTCATATACATGTTCACAGAAAAGTCCTCATGTATGCTCACAAATATGTGTTTATCAACCAGTTCATATACATATTCATGTTAGCATCGAGTTAACATATAACTTCTCATTTGTGTTTTACTAGCTGGTGTTCACATAAAAATTATCATGCATGTTCACATATAAGTCCTCATACATGTTCACCTTTATGTGTTTATCTACCAGTTCATATACATATTCACCAATAAGTCCTCATGCATGTTCACATATAAGTTCTCTTCTATGTTCACATACATATGTTTCTTTACCAGTTCATGTACATGTTAAAATGTAATTCTTCATTCATGTTCACATATAAGTCCTTATTCATGTTCACATATATACTATTATATATTTTTTAGCAATTTTGTCCCAATCCTTGCTCTTCCATGTTTATTATAATTGTGGAATTTGGTGCTAAACTGCTGTATCTTCTGTATCTAATAGGACTGGGCAATATAGTGCAGTATGCTTCTTAATGCAATAAATTTTTGATGCTGTAATATATGGCAATAAAATATCAGATATTGTAATATTTAAAACAGGGTATGTATATATTCATTATAAGCAGCACAACAAAAGATAAAAAGATTTATACGTATGTTTATGAAATGTTAGCAAATGTAATGTATAGTAAAAAAATATTGTTGAGAGAAGAAATAATTTTTGCAAACATAAAGAACTGATTATGCTAATTCATTTACAATTAATTATAAAAATCTTTTGATAGGTTATATGGTTATATGGCACAGTATAAATGGTTGTGAGCTTATATAACCCAAGCTCGTGGATGAGGATTATATTGCAAACAGGCATCATAGACAGCCATATAGCCTGTCAAAAAGTCCTTATAACATATTTATAATACAACTTGATTCCTATTTTTGAGAAAATATTTATATGACTTCATAAATATTTTATTACAAAAGCTTTTTCAGGTTATTTTGACCATGTGTAAATAGTTGTTTGCAATATTATTTACGTAGCAATACTATCATTTCATCACCTTACTGTAACAGGTTAACTCCTTACATAATTTGATAGCAGTTAACCCATTACTGCAATGAGGTGATGATTTAACTTGCAATACCCAGCCCTGTTATTCACATTTAGATACAGTTGTATAACACGAAATTCTTCAAATTGTTCTGTTTTGTTATTTGACTATGACTTTACACTTTTTAGCTCGACTTTTCTATGAAAAGGGGAGCTATCCTACTCGCCCCGGCGTCGGCGTCGGCGTCGGCGTTGGCGTCGGCGTCACACCTTGGTTAAGTTTTTCGTACCACCCCACTTTATTTCAGAAGTATTACAAGTATGGCTTTGAAACTTACCATACTTGTTCACCATCATAACCTCCATCTACAGACAAGAGTACATAACTCTGTCAAGGTTTTTGACAGAATTATGGCCCTTTTTTGACTTAGAAAGTGTATTGAGCTTGGTTAAGTTTTTTGTACCACCTCACTTTATTTCAAAACCATTGGAGGTATTGCTTTGAAACTGACCATACTTGTTTACCATCACGACCTTCATCAACAGACAAGAGGACATAACTCTGTCAAGGTTTTTGACAGAATTATGCCCCTTTTTGACTTAGAAAAAATACATTGAATATGGGTAAAATCCACTTATTGCCTTAACCCTTTGAGATATTGCTTTGAAACTTTTAATGCTATTTCACATCATTACCCCATCTGTACGCAAGAGAAGGTAACTCTGTCAAGGATTTGTTTTAAAAATTAAGGCCTTTTATCGACTTAGAATCTTGGTTAAGTTTTTAGTACCAGTCCACTTTTTGACTGAACTGTTTGAGATATTAATTTGAAAGTTGGAATACTTGTTTACAATCATGATTCCCAAACATGTCCAGGAGAAGGTAATTCTGTCAAAGATTTTATTTGAATTATGGCCCTTAACTGTCAATGTTTTGTATTATAGGCAAGCACTAAAAAACTTAAAAAATCTAAAAAAATTCATTCCTATCCACTTGTTCACTTTACCATAAATTATGTCATATAAACATTGCTGTAATATTCAAGGGTATCAAACAACTACTTCACTTTAAAAATACAGAGATTCTTGTATTGCCTTTTACTGCAAAAACTTTTTTTATTGGCAAGCAATAAAAAAGTCGAGCGCGCTGTCTTACGGACAGCTCTTGTTCTATATGATATCATGTTTAAATCTTTCATATATGTTTGTTAAACAACCAAATGCTAGTCATTTACCCTTATATCACCATGCTTGTTTGTCATCTCTTTCATATGCATGACTTAATAAATGTTTAAATCTACACCCAGAATTACTAATAGGTTGTTAGACATTTCTTAATATTGTAATGCTAAGAAATAATAATTGCAGCTTCAAATAACTTTGCACAATTCCATTCAGGTTGCTTGACAATGGTAAAAACTTTGGTGAAAATTTCAATTAAGATAGCTTAACAGTGGAACCAAATATTGTGAAAATTCCATTCAGATAGGTTATCAATGGAAAAAAGATATTTTGAAAATTTTATTCAGATAGCTTAACAATGAATTAAACTTTTGTGAAAATTTCAATAAGATAGCTTAACAGTGGAAAAAAAAATATTGCTAAAAATGTAAAAATGAAACTAAACATTTATAAAAAAAAATTGTGTACATCACTATACAGTCAAACAAAATATACCAAAAAGAATATTTGCATATTCAAGTTCTGTATGATTTAGACTTAAAATGTTGATGAATATTGGCCTTAATGTTTTTACATTGTTTTTTTTCAACATTTTTGTTTGATATGTGTATGTTATCTTGCTGCATATTGAATTTATAGGGGCAATTTTTAGACATCTTAAACATGGCAATATCATTTTTTTCTCTTCACCATATCATTTCTTTCTACACATACAACTTAAAGCATGACAATAATTATGATCTTTCCCTACACAGTAGTACACAGGTAACTTAAAGCCAAAGCAATATGGTTTTTCCCTACACAGGTAATTTAAAACCATGGCCATTTGATCTTCTGTACACAGGTAACCTAAAGCCATGGCAATATGATCTTTCTCTACACAGGTAACTTAAAACCATGGTCATATCATCTTTTTATACACAGGTAACTTAAAACCATGGCCTATCATCTTTCTCTACAAAGGTAACTTAAAACCATGGTCATATCATCTTTCTATACACAGGTAACTTAAAACCATGGTCATATCATCTTTCTATACACAGGTAACTTAAAACCATGGCCTATCATCTTTCTCCACACAGGTAAATTAAAATCATGTCCATATCATCTTTCTATACACAGGTAACTTAAAACCATGGCCTATCATCTTTCTCCACACAGGTAACTTAAAACCATGGTCATATCATCTTTCTATACACAGGTAACTTAAAACCATGGCCTATCATCTTTCTCTACAAAGGTAACTTAAAATCATGGCTATAGCACCTTTCCCTATACAGAAAACTTGACCCATGGCCATATTTTTCTCTGCAAAGACAAACCATCTTTCTCTACACAGGTAAATTAAAATCTTGTCCACATCATCTTTCTCTACACAGTTTACTTAAAATCATGGCCAGATCACCTTGTTCTACACAGAAAACTGGACCCATGGCCAGAGCTTTCGTACACAGGTACATCATACATGTAGATGTGAACTTTGTTATGCCATATTAAATATGTCATTTCCTTTGTTACTAAATTATCAACTGAAAAAGTTTAATAATGCCATTTGTATTTGACATTTGTTACCTATGTGATAGATGAAAAAGAGTGATAAAGCAACATCTTAAATTGTGTTTGTTTGTGAATTTACTCATAATTTTCGTTAAACTGAAACATAACACTGGCCCCGAAATGATGTTTACCAGCATAGTCATGGTTTCTTAATTCAGGATATTTCTCCATAGCTTTGTTATTTAGGAATTAATTTGGAACAATAGTGTTGTTTTTTTTTGTCTGTTAAACAACACACTTCTTTCATGTTACAATTTTTTTGCTGGCAATACCTTTTTAACATTTTTGTAATTTTTATATTGATGAAATATGTTTGTCTTCTGTAATTAAATGCAATAATAATGTTGAAAGTAAATTGAAAAACTCAAAGTTGATAGATTTTTTTTTAATTTGATTTTTTTGAGAGAGAGAGAGAATTGTTTCTGCATAAATACCATTATAAAAGTCTATGTCTGTTGAACAGAAGAGGCAGACTTCAATCCAGTACAAATTGAATTAAATACAAAAATTGTGATTATTTTATGTTTTTGATAAAGTTATTCTAGTTTGAAAGTTTCATTAATTCAATGTTATTGAAATTTTGAAAGAAAATCCTGAATAGATGTTATCCAGAACTCAGCAAACCTGGGTTTTTCCCAGCTAATCCATAGGTACAAACAAACTTACCGTTATAGCTTAACTGTGCACTATCAGTCATAATAAATTTGTCAACCTGTTGCGCTGGTTTTCGAAGCTGTAACTAAAAAGTTTGTTTGTACCTACAAGTTAGCTGGGAAAACCCCAAATTTTCTTTATTCCAGAGTTAGTGTATTGACCCTGAAAGTATTTTTTCCTCTTACTCTGCTGTCATGAACATATTCTACCCATAGAAAGAGCATCAAAACATGAGGCTATCTGATTTGTACGAGGGGGCGTAGTCCCCGAGTATAAATCAGATAGCCGAGTGTTTTGATGTTCTTTCTCTTTTGTATCATAGTCAAGCATAAAAACACGTTCCCTGTTGTCACAATATGAAACCCCAGAAAAAAGTAACCAATGAACGAGCATCTGAATATGATATTTCTGTCGCTTTCCCTTTCTCTGTCGTCACAATATGTAAACCCCAGAGAAAATGAACCAATCAATGGCCATGCTCTGGAGTGCAGGTAACTGATACCTGCACTCCAGTTAACACACTGTGCATGTATATGTATATGATTTAACTCTGACATTTTTTCAACAGAAAGGTCACCAAACTATGATATAATACTATATTGTATCATATTTTACGAAATTGATAATCAAAATAGGTAATATTTACCTCCCTTGTACAGAAATGTTGTAATTACCTCCCTTTTTACTGGCTTTCTTCTACTGATAGCATAAATTATTGTTGCTTACCCACGAAATTTAATTTTCAAAATAAATGCTAAAAATAGATTGAAAATCAGAAACATAAAAACCGTAGGATGGCATTTTAGTTATTGTTATTTTTGTGTATTTTTTTTACCAAATCCTTTGTTAATTTAAATACTTGCATTCATTGCTCAAATTCATTTCATAAATATGTGAACCTTAAAGTTACGTGCTCACAAGTAAGAGTAAAATTTTTTGAAGATTTTCAGGGTTAAGTCCTTCTTTAAAGTTAACCAGTTATTGCACTCAAGTGATGTGATGTGCTGACTGTTTTTGATCTGCAATGGTTGCATGGGTAAATTCAGTTTTTGCTAGCATGGTAATGGTTTTAAAACTCAACTTCCTTAGCTTGAACATGCTTGGTCTAATTGCCAATAAGCATTATTTTCGTATCACATGTAATTTTGAGATGGAAAATATAACCATCTATAAAATGTGAGCAAGTAACTTTAAAGTGTTTATAAGTTACCTTGTAACTATAAAGTATGCTGACCTTGCCTTAATGTATAGTGTGTATTTAGATTTTTGTTTATACAGTGTAACCTCTGTAATGCAGCCCATTGTAGACCAACATAACCTCCATAGAGCAAGCCCTCTGTAGAACAATAACCTGTTTATAAAATAAGTATCAACTCAAAGAAAGAATTCACAGTTAATTTAACCTCTCTAATGCAAATATCTCTCAATAACAACCGAAATCTTTTGTCTCTCAAATGGTATTGCTCTGGGAGTTTGTTTTGTCGAATGCAATACCTCTCAATAACAACCGAAATCTTTTGTCTCTCAAATGGTATTGCTCTGGGAGTTTGTTTTGTCGAATGCAATACCTCTCAATAACAACCGAAATCTTTTGTCTCTCAAATGGTATTGCTCTGGGAGTTTGTTTTGTCGAATGCAATACCTCTCAATAACAACCGAAATCTTTTGTCTCTCAAATGGTATTGCTCTGGGAGTTTGTTTTGTCGAATGCAATACCTCTCAATAACAACCGAAATCTTTTGTCTCTCAAATGGTATTGCTCTGGGAGTTTGTTTTGTCGAATGCAATACCTCTCAATTACAACCAAAATCTTTCGTCTCTCAAAGGGTATTGCTCTGGGAGTTTGTTTTATCGAATGCAATACCTCTCAATTACAACCGAAATCTTGGTCTCTCAAAGGGTATTGCTTTGCAGAAGTTTTACTGTAACTGCCCTGGTGTGAATGATAAGCTTGTTATTCAGAATGGTGCAAAACTTGTTTTAATATTCCCTTAAAGAGAATGTTGTTTTATTTGTTCACCTCTGTTAACAGCAAAGGCTCTGTTAACAGCAAAGTGTTAGTTATTTAGATTGGAATTTATATCTTGTTTTATTATATAAACCAATATTTTAAATGTTAATGTATATATTTTTTTATCTTATGATATATGTACTTAAGCAACAGGGTCATATAGTGGGCATCTGGGCAAAATGTGTGAAACCCTTTTAAGGGGTAGGAAATGATGGAGATATGACCTTTTTGCACCAATCTCCTCTTTTTGCACCAATTCCCAGAAACAACTGTTTGAGATGCGTCTGTTTTGCACTAAGCCCATGAAATTATGTTGTCTGCATCTTTGTTAATACTGATTTCATCATGTTTTGTTGCTATATGAAAGGCTTGGAGCAATAAGGGTTTAACTCTTTATTATCTTGAATATTGAAGTTAGGTTATTATTGCACCAAGACATTCAGTATAACAGTTATAAATGTTTGTTTGTTTTATATTTTTTAACAGAAGTATTTTAGTTTTCCCCAGTATTTTTTTCATTGTTAATGTTTGAAAATGATATATATATACTGTTTATATATATTGACCTTTTTTGTATATGCAAATATTTAACAGTGCTCTCTTGAATTTTGAAATACATTATTTTAAATGTATACATGTTTTATAAATATAATTTGAAAAAAAAGGAGATAAAATTGAAAGAAATATGTTTGCAATACAAATATAAAATGTCCATGTTTTGGCAATTGTTAAAGCAATTTTCACCATGTACCTTTATTTAGTTATAGTTTGATTTTAAACATAAAGTTTGAATAATGAATTAATCCCACCCTGCCTAAATATCTTAAATGGACTTGTCTTTCTTTTAATATGGACAAGACCATTTATGATATTTTGGGAAAATTTCATAATACATACTGACCAATTAACATTGCTGTGAACAGTTCAGATCATGATCTTACAGCATATATGATAACGTGCTGCCTTACCTTGGTCTACATTGGACCCATGGGCAAATTCAGTTACCCCAACCAGACTAAGGGCTTAACAAACATGAATTCAGATAAAAATACAGAATTTCTCTACAAGATGATCTTTTTTATGCTTCAGGAGTTTTCTTTCTTTATTTAGCATATATTCACCAATATGTCGTTCCTTTTGTCCTAACTTCCAACATTCAGTGTATCAAAATAATTTTTTATTGACCTTTACCCATTGGTAAAATGTGTGGAGATCACTGGAGCAAATGATATATTTTACAGCCTTATTGATTTGTAGCTTAGATAATTGGTGTGTCTGCACTTTCAATCGACCTGTACCTTTGGATGGAGTTTTCAGGTTAAATAGGTCAAGGTCACTGAAGCAAACAGCAAATTTTAATTTTTAAAATTTTGGCTGAACTTCTGTTATACTACTTGCGCAATTTAAGCTTGGAGTGAAACTTTACAGGATTGATTGGTACCTCAAGTACTTGCACATATATAAAAGGTTTTCCTGTTTAATGATTTTTGGCTGAGTTATGGCCCTTAAAAAAAAAAAAAAAATTTTTTGGCATGTTAAGGATTTTTGTGTCTCCTGCTACCAATTCTGCAATGTGCTACAAAGTAATCGGAACATAAAGGGAACAAACCGGTCAGTCACCATCATTACAACTGCTTATCATCAGGGGACACATGTGGTCACTGACCACTCTTGTTATAATATTCCTTGGTGCTTTTCTTGTACATGTATGTAAATGCCCCGCATATTTCATTTCAAAATCTGGGATATAGAAAAACAGGATATGGCAGGAAAATAAAACCAAAGAATTTTATTTTAAGTTTTTGCTAATATATTGCCAAACATAGATACTGTCATGCTGACCATAGAATGTTAAATCACTATCCATAGAAATGCATTTTAAAAACCATCATTTTGAATTATATTCATATTACACATACAAATATATTCCTAAGAATTTTATTTTTGCATGGTTTTATTTAGATATTTTAAAAGTATATAGATTCATATATATATTTTTTTTCTTCTAGCTAAAAATAACTTTACTGTTTTGTGTACTATTGTTATTTTTTGCATACTTGTTTCTATATTTAGGTCTTTCTGAAAATATTATTCTACATTTGAATTGAATTTAATAGTTATATTACACTCATTTGCTATATTATAATATTTCTATTTTTCAATGGTTATTTACCTAAAATATATGATTTTTTGTTGACGTTTATTAAAGAGTAATGTCCATTTTGAATTTGTAAGTTTAAACAATTATTTCTATTTTTGAAGCCAGATGACATATCTAGCATTCTTTATTCACCATTTAGAACAGTCTTCAGTATTTAAAAAATGCCTAACTGTATCGTTTGCCTAACTTTAACTTTGTCACGAAGTTCCTGTTTGATAAATCATACCTTGATTTTAGTGTAAAATACTTTTCTTTCCTAAAAATATATGTCATGGCAATTTAAATTCCATTTTTTTTGAGTTAATTTCATTTTATTGACCTAGTACATTTGTAAGACTATGTCTGGAAGTGCCAAATGCCTAACTTTGACTCCCAGTTGCCTAACTTTGACTCCCGGTTGCTTAACTTAATTTTGAAAAAAAAACATCATATATGTGACGTCAAAGGTAGAAATACATTGTTTATGACTAGTACATTATTGGAAATAAGCGGCTTTTCATGTTCTATATTTTTGTACACACATGTTTATGTTACCATACTTGTTTGGTGAAAGATTTTTGCATACACATGTATATTTTTTTCCATAAAAAAATGAGAAAGTTATGAAGATGTAGAGGAATACTCAAAAAAAAATAGACAGTTTAAAAATGTTAAATATTGTTGTGGTCTATGTAACCCCCCTTTTTGTGTGTCTTGAAATATACAGCCCTAGTGCCCACCGAGATAATAACATTTATGTTTGTAATGTATGGTAAGTTTTGCATGAAATCCTTCAGTTTTGTCTCATTTTGTTGTCTGATTAATGTATTGCTTTTTGCTCAAAAAAGCTTGTTTTGTGTAGTTATTTGTACTTTCTTAAGGTGATATCCCATTACAATTCACCTTGGGTCAAAGGTTATGAAGAAATGTTCCGGGCTCAAACTCAGATCTCAGGGACTTGATAGGTCATAGTCTGATACAGAATGTACACTGACCAATGAAAATCCTGAGATTTGAGGCAGAACTCAGAAAAATGTTTTAGAACATCAAGTCATGTTACAGCTTACAATTTGTACCTCAACAGAACATAAAAGGCGTTACGAAGTGAGCTTTTATGCTAGCAAGATGTCCATGTTGCCGAGTATCCATAGTTACTGAAAACATCGTCTCCTCTTCTTTTACCAAATTTTACTGGAATGATCCTTAGTAGACTCACGGTTATACTTATCCCCCGCCGATGGAATCGGGAGGGGGATATTGTTTTGGCGTTGTCTGTCCTTCCGTCCATCCGTCCGTCCGAATTTCGTTTCTGGAGTAGTTCTCTGCAACTACTGGCTGGAATTCAACAAAACTTTATGGGAATCATCAATATCAAGAGGAGATGTGCATATCGTCTGCTTGTTCCGGTCAGACACTTTAACTCAGAGTTATGGCCCTTGATTAGTTATGCAGTATGCATATAGAGCAAAAATCATTTCCGCGCTACTTCTCTGCAACTACTGGCTGGAATTCAACAAAACTTTATGGGAACCTTCAATATCAAGAGGAGATGCGCATATCGTCTGCTTGTTCCGGTCAGACACTTTAACTCAGAGTTATGGCCCTTGATTAGTTATGCAGTATGCATATAGAGCAAAAATCGTTTCCGCGCTACTTCTCTGCAACTACTGGCTGGAATTCAACAAAACTTTATGGGAACCTTCAATACCAAGAGGAGATGGGCATATCGTCACCTTATTTGGGTCAGACACTTTAACTCAGAGTTATGGCTCTTGATTAGTTATGCAGTATGCATATAGAGCAAAAATCGTTTCCGCGCTACTTCTCTGCAACTACTGGTTGAAATTCAACAAAACTTTATGGGAACCTTCAATACCAAGAGAAGATGCGCATATCATTGCCTTGGTGGGATCAGACATTTTAACTCAGAGTTATGGCCCTTGATTTACCTAGCATCCGGTATCATTAGATTTTACATAGTATATATGGAAAAAAGACTTTAACCCTAGGGTCCAAATTTGTCTTTCCTCGGTAGCTTGTTTAATTTAACATAGTTATATAGGAAAATCTTTATAAAGATCTTCCACCCAATCCCATGGTTTAGATATATTTTGGTGTTTAAACACTTTTAGTAGGCCTTTGTAAAATATTTTCCGATCATGACCACGAAGCCATCTACATAAAGTCATAAAGGGAACCCTTATTGAAATATTTTGCTCTATAACTGCAAAACTTAGAGAGCTCACTTTTGTGTTGCATTGTATAGTAGACCACTGTTGCATTTCCTTGTGTGTTTTGAATTTATCAATTGCCGTATGTCTTGTCTCCGGTTACACAAATGTCTTCCAGCATGAAATCATAACCTTTGAATAAAAAAAGGGATAAAAAATTGGTCTCGTCCTCATTTACAAAGGCTCATATAGTATGCCTGTAAAACATCTACTCTCAAAGCAAACGGTATTTGGTGTGTAGCAGTGTGTTGTCATCTGTGTTTCTCTATCTGCAAAGGACTTCTGGAGAGTGACCGCTGATGACCCTTTTGTTTTTATTATCGTTTTCTCGTGAATGCACTTATTTTCGTGGGCATGAAATTTCGCGGGTTCTTAAATTCGTGGATTGTCTGTTGTTTTTTGTTGGTGTTGTTGTTTTTGGGTGGGGTGCAAAAAACTACAATTCAAATTATGTAATAAAAGTATTCGCACAGCAGAAGAATTTAATTTTCGTTGGATCTTAAAATCGTGGATTGACCTATCCACGAAAATAAGTGCCCCATGAATATTAATTATTTTGCAGTATACATATCCTTTTTTTAAACACCACTAAAATAACAAAATTAGGGTCAATGCTTAGATCAGAATTAAAATCCAGATAAAGTATTTTTTATCCTTTTAAAACAATTCATAGATTTTTCTCACGAAATTGAAATTTCCCAGTAAACAAGTATGTATTTTGATTTGATCTGAATGGTTCAGTAAGGAGCTATATGCTAGATCTGCAAATATCGGTTTTGCGAGTCCGAGTCTTTTGCTCACTAACGTTAGTCCGTGACGAATTTGCAGACGATAAATGTTTTCGTCCCTGTCACCGTTTCAAAGAACTTCACGGAAGTGGGGAATGGATAAAGGTCTGTCTGTTTAAGACTGAAAAAGCAAAGTAATTTGACGTCTTGGTCAGATTTTGATATACATTTGGCGGATATTTTGCAAATGCACATTATTAACTGTAATCAATTAAATACCAGCGTTTGCACCATGTGATCTCGCAAAAGAAACAATTATTGGATCCAATCTTATCACTTTCATGAAGTATCGCTTTCATTTTTCGAGTCCAGAAAATTTTGCAAATTACTATTGAACTCCATCCATCCTCGTTTTCATATTTCGAATTGCAAAAAAAAAATAAAAAAAATTCGTACACAGCGTCAAAACCTACAAAATGTATATTGGACGAGGCCAGCACCTCGTCCAATATAGGTTTGACAGCTATGCATTCGTCCGATTGACTAATGATTGAATCACAGTACGTTAACATCTGGCACAATACACGACAACTTTTACGTCACCATTTTTGTGACGAGTTTGACTTATATTCCTATAGTTATGTTGGACTATGTTGCAAATGTTTGTTTTTATTTCTCTTGCAGAATAAGTGCATGGCATGGAATAAGGAAGAACTTACGGTGAAGATTTGACGTGAAGCTACACCAACCAAAGTGAAAACTGCATATTTTATGATGTGTATTTTTATTTTATTTCTATGTGCTGTTTTGACTTATTTTATTTAATATGTCACTAAGGGAAAATGTGTATTAAGGTATATAGGAAGACTTTTAAAATTGCACGTTTGTAACGTCGTTTTTCATTTGATTATTGTGATGATGTAGAAAAGTCTTTTTTTGTTTTTCACTGAAAAAAAAGAAGTTTGTCGTATTATAAATTCGTTATAAAGATGCTTATCAACTGAAGAAAATGTGAACTTATTTGGAATAAAGGTAGCAAAATGTAATTCCATACAAATACTAATAAATTACAGTGTAGAAATTACTCAAAGCGCAAAAGAAGTAAAAATGAGTAAGTATTTGGAAACAGACGACATTAAAAATGAAAGTTTTTGAAAAATAAAAATGGAAGCATTTTTTAGGCTTAATGGGCCTTTAAAATAATTTCAACTTGTGCGACGGAATCGAGGCGTTATGCTGAATCAATGTAAACTAATGTTGTGTGTCTGTTTTATTTGTTTCTGATTTGTATGTGTGTGTTTATTCATATCTAATTCCTATTTGCTTGACGGGGTACCTATATTTTTATTTATGTAGAAACAATGCGACTTTTTCTATCATTAATTCAAAAAGTCGGCAAATGGTATGAAGATATCTTCTCCTTCAGTAAATGTAAAATAATTAATGTCTAAGAAAAAAAGATTTGAAATTGAAAACGTTATACACATTGTAATTAATGATTTATCCCTGTGCTTTGTTTCGTCTGTTAATATATTTTAAATGAAATTTTGCTGAAGTCGCTTTAATACAAGTCTGTTCCAATATTTGCATATTCTACACTTTACCAGCAAATAAAATGGACATAAGGAGTATTGCATTGTTGCTGATTTATGCCACGTCGTTAATCGCTCCGTGGTGACATTGACGTATACCATAGCCTTGTGTCTTGCGGAGCGAATGTGCGGACAGAATGTTGACTTTTTCGTATATTCGTCTTGTGTCACGCAGAGCGAAAATACGACATGGCATAAATCACCAGAGTATTGAGTATATTTATAAGTTTTAAACGTTGCTGATTGACAAAGCTTTTGCTGTGTTACGTAAAAATGGCAAAGAACGACAACTCTTGGCGGAGTATAATAATGGTGTGAATTTATCACAGATAAAGCGTATACCATCATCGACATGTTCCGTGTCTTGAATAGAATCTTATAGATGCTAACTTCAAGATACGGAAAAACACACTCGAGAAAATGCCGAGTTTCATCGAACGTGTGATGGGTATTTTTAATACACCTTTGATGTACCTCTTTTTATTTGATTTTGTGTATCAGTTGTTATTTTTTGTATCTATGTCACTTATATTTCTATGAAATTTCAATAAATTTGTTGTCACACAGTGTTTTCTATATCTATTTATTCTGTATTATTTACATATATTTATAACCCTTGTAAGCTGCATACAAACAAGGCTTTCATTAAAAGCCTTAAGAAGTATTTCAACGTAGAAGCTAGATGACACATTTTCAGAATATCTGGATTTTAAAATACAATAAAGGAACTTTAGTCTTTTGATAGCGAAATCTCTTAACTTACATAAAATAGACAATTCCATATTTCAAACAGGATGCACATTTATATAAAATAGAGAAACTGGGAATTCCTTTAAGGTTTAGCTTCTCAAACTATACAAAAATAAAATACACACTCACATATCCATGGAAACCCAAATTTGAATTTTCGTATTCACGTATAAAACATAATTCATAGTCCGATATGACCGTGAAAATTTAATAATTGAATATTCGTAAAAATAACAAATGGCGCTTTAAATAATCTTTGCCACTTTTAGGTTACAGTTTATAAGCATTGCAGGTTTTTTGTTCTACACAATGCCCTGGGTTATTTTGTGCGTTAGCTGCTAGAAACACCAATATCCCGGCTATAAGTTTGAACACCAGTGCAGCCACAGAGAGCCCGTAACAGTAACTAAGCTTGTATTCTCCCCATTCGGGGTCAGTGTCAGACGGCTTAATATAAGAATTTCGCACCATAAAAGATAACCCCAATAAGGTAAAACAGACCTGAAATATAAGTTACATACATTGATCGTATGCCAACGTTTTCATATCCACAAGTCAACTGTTACAGAACGCCATGCCCCTTCTGGCTTCACCTCAGAGGAAAAATTAGTTAAAAACGTATTAATAATATGTACATATCTGGAAAAATGTGATCCCTCGGGAGCATTAAAAAGAGCAAAATTACATGAAAATTGCAGACTCGGTTTGATTGAGTCTGTACAAGCTCTATTGAAGGACCTCCGCATTGAGAGTTGGATATACTCTCTTTTACGTTGGCGCGAAAACAAAAAAAAAACCACATTGACCCGACGATGCGATTTGGGTTGAGAATACAGATAACTCATGCATTACAAGGTTTAGATAAGGTTCCACAATGTTTAGTCTATATACATGGGGTCACTGGAAATCATTAAAGGACGGGAAATCAAAGACTCAGTTAGATTTTACCTGTGATGAAACAAATGAGAACAGTGGATACGGCAATTTCCCTGCTTCCCAAACATCCGGGTTTAAACATGTACGAAATTTGGAGGACTAGAGCTGCGTTGATTCCAAAGAATCCAATGGCGACAAGTGCTTGAGTTGCAGCATACCAGTCTGAAATTAGAAACACGTGTATCACGTGACATAATATATGTACATCTAATGTTAATACATGTATTAATTAATTCATGTCAGTAAAGACATTTAAACAAGACAGATCTGTTTGAATATTAAAAATATTAAAAAGATGCCGCTTTTCGAGAAAAAACACCGTTAGTTTAGATAGATTCCCTAAATTCTAAAATTAGAAAGTTCTTGTTAAAAATCAAAATTGTTATCTGACGCGGATTTATTTGTCACGCATAGTCTATATGAGAACACTTCTCTTGGCATTGATGCGCGTTACCAGTATATATACAAATAGACCGGAAGTTACTGTTATTAGCATGCTAAAGGGTAGCACCTGAGTAATCAGGTGCATGATTATTCAAAAATCATTATTGCTGTAGTGACCTTTCACCCCGAAACACCGTTTTTTTCTACATAGACCCCTTACTTGATTCAACCCAAAACACTCACCGTTTGCCCATCCGTCCGTGGCAACGCACCCAGGAAAATGTTTGTTGTCTGTGCAAATACGCCATAGCCCATGCGTTCCCGCTTTGGGTCCATCTACCGCCTCGCCCCAACCAGTACATGTGTATGCTATCCATGCAAACAAAGTTGAAATAGACAAAAGTCCTAATGCCAATTTGTTATAGATTCTACAAGCTGGAAGAGCTTTCTTCGAAATAAAAACCCATAGTGAATGTTGTTCTCTTCTTGTAATTTTCCGCCAAAAACATTGACGTCATCTTACAAACAAATGGCGCGTAACTTTACGACGTCAATGGCGGAAGTGCATCCGAAACAGAGACAAGAAACAATAAGGACAGTTGATAAATGCTTTATTTTGAAAATACCAAAACTGTTATACATTCATATTTTTTACAGGATATAACTTTTAAATATATCATCCAAAAAGCTGCATAAGTCAAGTGGATATTTCTATTTCATCCGTTTGCATAACATTTTTGACAAAGTGACTTGAAATGTATAAAACCGTTATAAAAAAAAGCTCCTCTGGGACCGGACAATAAATGACAATTTTTTGAGATAGTTGTATTGACGAAAACATATTTCAAAGATAGATAACAAATTTAATGTGGTAAATGACACCGATGATGATTTTTTCCGGTGATTTAAAAGTTAATTTTATTCAGTTTATTTCTTTTCTTAGATGACACATATAATAATAATACGAATATAAAACGTATATAAAACGTAAAATAAGCATACGTACATGTATTCATGTATATACATGTATATATCATCAGCCTACGTTTTTAGAAAGTCTTTCACTTTATATAAAACATAATTAAACAGTAATAAACCTAACCTAGGTCAGTTACTATAATAAATCAATGTGATCATCGCCTTTTTCTACAGTTTCAAGTACACTTCCAAGTACCTTTATATGGATTAAATAACATCAAAATTCACTCTTAAATATGTTAAGTATGGAACCTTATTCTCTCCAAATATTAACATAACCTATATTGTTAGGTGGGGTCCACAAAGAAGTATCACAAGGTGAATAATCAGTTGACATTTCAAAAGCGGTGCTGCGGTACTAGATATTTTGTCGGCAACCAAATGGTACAGTACTCACGGAATGAAATGTTCACGGGATCTATGGATCAATTCTTATCCATTGGTCTTAAGGTATCATGATGATTTCTTTTTAAAGATTTTATTTGAAGAAACAAAAATCCAGAATCACGATTCTGTTTTTAGCGATTTTAATACAAACTTTCACAGAGGTTTTTATACATGTACAATAAACTACTTGTAATACAACATACCGTTTATGCTGTTAATGAGTGCTAAATATCCCCACCAAAACTCACTCAAGTATGATGAAAGTACACATTTAAATGTAAAATTACTGTATTTGTAAAACTGGCATGTTTTAGGTGTTTTCCCACTGTTCAAGGACTTCGAAACATTTTTAATTCAAAAGTTCGAATTCCCAAAATGCGACATTAGTTGGCTAACGAAAGTCGGCGGTTTTACTTATGTGCCGTATGCACAGAGGGTCATTACCAATGTTAATGTTGTTGAAGAAAGTTCAAATGTTATCATTAATGTCATCATCATCATCATCATTATTATTATTATTGTTGTTGTTGTTGCTGTTGTTGTTGCTACTGCTGATGTTGCTGTTGTCGTCATCGTCATTATTATTATTATCATCATTTTCATTTTCAGAAGGATACATACACGTGGTCAGATATGACGACGAAATAATCCGACGCATAAATGCTTGAATAATTTCATAGTTTGTCCTAATCATAAAACTAAAGTAATCGTCGTTATTTTATTTATTTGTACTGAAGTTTCAAGCGCACTTTAGTATACATTGGCGAAATTAAATAAATGGTAAAACTTGACTGAAATATTTTTGTCGATTTTATTAGACGTTTTCACACAAATCAATTTATTTTCTTCTAAAAGATTTAAAATAAACGTTTCTTTTGCCGAACCTTTTTTTAGATATGTTGAACTTTTTGCCTAGGCGAAAAGTTATTTTTTCATCTTTTGTGTAACTTTTGTCTTTTTGACAAACATTCGCCTAGATAAAAAAAACTTCAAGCGTTTTGAGAAAAGTGACTAAGGGTGACAAAAAATGGTCTAGTCTTTGTGAATGAAATGAAATGATTTGTTTTAAAACATCTATTCAAATTAAACAAAATCACTCGATCGTCTTACACATCATGTGCGCACTAAATGGAGGCCCTTTAACGTTTCCGTAGTTTGCCTAAATTAGTTCTCTTGTAATCGATTCCACTTGACCAAAAATGGTTCCAATGTCGCAAATCTTATTCTTTTGATCACATGTGTTAAATAATTAATTAGAAAATGTTCCTTTTCAAAAGAACGTGATCAAAGAAATTCGTTTGGAGTGCGTGTCAACTTGTCGTGATTGGCAAAACTGTTTAACTGTCTATCTGAAAATCTGTACATCTGTTCAGATTATATTGAATTGTGTTAATTCTCTTTCAAGGATAATTGAATGTATTGGACGTGTTGCATTTCTTTAAATTATGAAACTATTTCATAGGTTTGTTTATTGTTATTTTTGTAATAGTTCTCTGTTTAAATTATTTAAAAAGTAAAAGTAAAGAAAAAAGGGAAATAGGTGCGCTTATAAAACGTTTATATCATCATTTTTTCCTGCAAGTCAGTAACTTGACCACTTGATAAAATAATAAGTGTTTATTTTTAGTATTAAGAACATGTGTCAATATGTACATAACATTAAAACTTCCAGATTTTCTTAAGTAGGCAAACGATCAGGCTTCAAAGATTTTTTGCAAACACTTTTCACAAACCCGCGAAACTTTAACATAACTATAATACTAGGTACGTAAGTCTTGAACATATAAACATGTATATCATTAACTCTTAACATGCTGAATTTCATGACAGGACTTGTCCAGATTCCACTTATAGATCTGTCAATTTACAATGTTTGGAGCAGGGGACCTAAAATGAGCAATTTTGAAGTTCAGTGTGGCCAGAAACCCAATTCTAAATATTTCAAAATCTGTTACAAAAGTAGTCCTATAACATAAGACGTTTCCGTTAATACTACGTTGTATCAACGGAAAAACGTCGTATAGGACTTTTACAAAAGCAGATAACCAGTTGCGCAGCATTATTTTAGGAAATAATTATGATATACATTGAAGAAAATAATAGTTTGCATGCATTGCTCCTTAAAAATTATTGACTGACAGCAATTTATATTTACCCCACCTCTGAAATATACTAATATGGGCCATCTTCAGAAAGGTGAAAAATTAGACATATACAGGAAGAATTTACTAGATTTAACAAAAATCTGCCATTTATAAAAGTATTTTACCCAAAGATTGCCATAGTAAAACTTTAAAAAAGTGAAACAATTGTTCCTAAAATGATTTCCCCCCGTGTTGTATTGTTTTTACTTGCTCATAACTTATAATTCATGTACATAGAAATAAGACGTACAATAAGTTACATAGATATCCAAGTATTTATACATGATCTTCTTCACTTTATTAACAAAAACAGAATGATGTAAAAATCTTTGTAAATTCATATAACATATAATACTCCTATATAATATATTGTGTATTTTATTCACCAAAGTCCTCGTATTATTTTGTAAAAAGCGTGCGACAAAAGTCTACGTACATGTACTAGTACTTTAATTCTGATCACCGCTCGTATTTACGCTTGCTGCCAGCTTAGTTTATCAAACCAGGTACCATAGACCATGTAGACTAAGATAATAAACATCGCAAATTGACGACTTTATACTAAGATATCTTCCAGCAAATCAAACCAGTAGCTCTTATCATAAATGATGAGCATCATTCTAAATCTAATCCAATCAGACGTATGCTTTTAAAGGGACTCCACTGAGTTTGTTGGGGATTTTTTTGACATGACGAGACTAGATTTTTTTCGAGATTAATGCTTCATTTGATGAAGGCCTGGACCCCTAACTTGTGTGAAAATTTTGCGCTCACTCCGTTTTACCTTAATAATAATAATTGTGAAAAATGTTCCAATCTTGAAAAACGTTGCAACGCCTTCACTTAAATCGGGGTAAGAAAAGCATAAAAATACGATTTCCAATCTATTTCTAAGTATATTTGTAGCTGTTGATTTTTTTATTTTTTTTTGGCGGGGGGATATGTTTTGTTTTTGTTTAAAGTGCCCCAGTTGATCTATGTAAGAAATTCAAATTTTATATTTCAAGGCTTTCGACCTCAGTGGAGTGCCTTTAATGATGAAATACAATGTAATTACAAATTTGTAACAAATACCTAAATATGGTAAATGTTCGATGTAATAAATATATCACGGTATTAAATAATTTAAATAAATCTAAAAGTTGTAGTCATTATGCGGACGGGGAGGTACCGCCTTTCTTTGAGTCGAGGAAAATCAAAACTCCTGCAACAATTTCCAGAATGAGTGCAACGATGGATAACCCAAAGCAATAACCTAGTTCAAAATCTCCCCACGTTGGATTATTGCTTCCAGGGTCAATGTAATCCTTATCAAACTTGGCACCATACACGATCACTCCTATTAGATACAGTACTCCTGAAACGGAAAATAAAAAGAAATAAATAAAAAATAAGATTGCACGCATTTTGTGTTCTATGTCGGTGTCAAAGGCTAACAAGCAATTATCATAGTATTGCAAGCAATCCATAAGTCCCCTACCTGTTAGAACCCCAGCAACATTCTGAAGGGCCTTTGGCCATTCACTTATGTTTCTATTTTAAGTAAATTTGTTGAAAAAGTTCTTTAAAAGTGATCACAGGAAACAGTTTTTATGTACAGACAGACAGACGGATTGAAGGACACTCTAAAGTTATTTTTTAAACATCCCTGTTATCAAAATATAACATTTTTAAAAGCAAAATTTTTAAAAAAGAGATAACTCTTGAAATAAAGATGCAAGATGTCATACATGATGTGAGTGTAACAAAGAACAATTAGTAATGAAGGTATGAATAATGAATGTTTATTTTGAATTTGAAGTAAATGAAAGTTAAAAGAACAAATAGGAAAAAATAAAAGTTTAAGGAGGAGATTATTCTGGAAATATGGATGCTAGATTTATAAACCTTGTCATTATTATTATTATTATGTGGGAGTTTGAAGAAAATCCTATCATGATTGAAGAAGTTGGAGTAAAAATTAACAATTTCTCAAAAAAAAAGTTCAAAAGGGGCATAATTCTGGAAATAGTCTTGCTAGAGTATTGAACTTTCTCACAAATGTTGAGTGATAATAAGAAACATTTATATGAAGTTTGAAGTAGATACATTCAGAAAAAAAGAAGTTATTAAAAAAAACAATATTTTTTCATGAAAATTTTAAGTTCAAGGGAGGTAATTCTGATAAATTTTGTCCTAGAGTTGTAAACCTTGTCACATATGATGTGGTTGATGACTAGCAACTTATATTTAAAGTTTGAAGAAAATACCTTAAGAAATAAAGAACATATAGTGAAGAAACTTAAAAACTAGAATCAGATATCTTGAAATTCAGTCTATTTGTTGCCATAGCAACCAGAATTTTCAACATAGGAAGATAAGAAAAGGATGTTCATAATTTCCATACTGCCATCTACCCATATGTCAAGTTTCATAAAAATATTTTCAATACTTCTTGCGTTATCACTGGATCCAGGTTATGTGTAAAATTTGCCAAATTTTCAGTCTATTTGTTGCCATAGCAACCACAATTTTCAGCATAGGGAAAAAAGAAAAAGACGTTCATAATCTCCATAATGCCATCTATCCATATATCAAGTTTCATAAAAATATTTTCAGTACTCTTTGTGTTATCGCGGGATCCAGGCCATGTGTAAAATTTGCCATATTTTCAGTCTATTTGTTGCCATAGCAACCAGAATTTTCAACATAGGAAGAAAAAAAATGCCGTGCATAATCTCCATACTGCCATCTATCCATATATCAAGTTTCATTAAAATATTTTCAGTACTTTTTGCGTTATCGCGGGATCCAGTTTTGTGGACGGACGGACTGGCGGACGGACAGACGGACGGACGGACTGACGAACAGACGGACGGAGGGTTAACCTAAAGTCCCCACCGGTAAACCGTTAGGGGACTAATTCCAGCAGGTAAAGGTTAAAGGTCACCCCGCTTTCTATCGGAGATATGATATCCATGAATAATGTGTTTACTCCCAGTCGATTTCAATTTATAATAACATTTAATTTAACATTTGTGAACATCAATCTATTTTACTTGAAGATTTGTCAGTTCAGATTTTTCTGTGAATCGAAATAACCAAGCTACCTGTATTTATAGTATTAAAATCAATCACTGCTTGACAAACTTTTCATGAACGCTTTCAGAGTGCTTTACAGGTCAGATAAACATAATTCCTTTAAAGTTTATTTATTAAATCATCGCAAAATAAGTGGTAAGTAATTCAGACAGCGACTGTCGGCAAATGGTCAAATATTTGACTAACTGACTATGCATGTACATTATTTTTCAAGACCTTTTATCTTTCACCTCATTTCATTATTATAATTTTAATTTTTAACTATGTAAAAACTGAACGCCTAGATTCAAAATAGAAACAAGAAAAATTGGCCGCGTAATGCTGATGATTTTTTTTTTAAACTTTCGGTTGCATTTGTTTTAGTTTCAGATCTAAGAGTCGTTTTAACATGAAGTTTAAATACAAATACAGCGATATTTATGTTGATAGGTTCATGTAAAGTCATGTTGTTCAGACTCAAATTATATCCATTTAATGTGCAATTAAACGTTCATAAATTAGAATTTTATCACAAGAAGGTGAATAAATTATTGAGAGTGAATTGTATGTACAAAGTAATCGTTAATTTACAATGATCGTTTACAAGGGCGATATTGTGAAAAACTAAATCAGCGGGGAAGATTTACATCGTAAAACGTAAAGTTTACAATAATACAACAGTGTTTTTTTTCTTCTTTCAAAATGTGTTTGTACTATGCACGCAAACGATTAAAATATTACAATGTAGAAAAACTACGGACTTGAGACGCATTCACAATTAGTACATTGAAGAGATAAACCTGGATATAGCGGCCATTTTAAAAAACAAAAAACAAATACGTGCTCTTTGTACAGAGATCGTCTCTTATAAACAATAAATTTGCATTACACTTTATCACTTTTTGTACTGTTTTACTTATTCATCTTAAAAAGTTTAATCTTTTTTATTTGAATTGAGAACATATGAAATTGTACACTTAGTTTAAAGAAGCTCCACTGATGTCAAAAAGTCTTAAAAGATAAAAATTTGAAATCCTTACAATGATGAAGCGAAGCATTTAAAATAGAAAAATCTGCAAAGTCTACTGAAGAAATATACTCAGAATTAAAATTGAATATCGTTTTTTGTGCTATTTCTAGCCCAATTTGAGTGAAAATCGTTGTAACTCTTTTTATTTATGTGTCATTTTGCACAATAGAAACAAATATTTTGGATAAACTGGTTGAGAGAATAATCTTGAAATTTGCACACAAATTAATGGTCTCGGCATACATTAAGAGCACTCAAATCTCTGAAAAAAAATCAGTCTCGTCATGCCAAAAAAAAAAAACCTCAGTGGATTCCTTTTAACAACATTTCCGATTATCTGTCCTAATTGGAGAAGATATTAACAAACAAATTAAATTATAACTTCTTGGTCGTATCAAAGCAAAATATAGTATAATATAAATATCAAACTAGCAGGTCTATAAAATACTTTTATTCGTATATTTAATCATAATAGTGTGATTTATTGTTGACTTTTTTACCACTTACTACATTTATTTAGTTTATTGTACGTTAAATAAATGGTTAATGATTAAACTGAATTTATTGAAATTGCGATTATATCGGTGTGCTTTGTTACTGGCTTCTTGGTTCAAACATAATTATTTAAGCTCGGTTGCAAAACAAGTTCTTGCAACTTATGGTAATCACTTTCGAATCCGCTTCCTGGAAACAACCAGTACCGGTGCCATATGAAGAAACATGGTCGTGATCCGATTAGGGCTCGAACTCATGATCCACGGCCCGGGTTAAGAGGCAGACACCTTAACCACTAGGCGACCGCTACATGGTTATACTGATTGCATACTTGACAAAAGAAAGATGAAAAACTCCTCAGAGCAGCTTTATTACTTTTTGTCATGTGAAAGTCTGCATTACATTGTACTTACAACACTAAACACAAGACATAAATCTTTTTAAAAATTGATACAACATAATATATAGTCATAAATTTAATAAAACACCACAGTCACGTACAAAACGTGTTTCGGCAGCCGGGCTTTGAACCTTAGTTGACCCTTGAAAGACTTGTGTAAGTTCACCGAAAGAAATTAGAAAAAAATAAGTAAAAAAAACCACCACCAACAACAATAAAACGGAAAAAACCCACAAACCTGTTACTATGCAAACAATTGCGGCTGCCATGCCAATCTCTCCATTCTTTAGGCAACTTGGAACAAACATGTACAGGATCAGCAAAAATAGACCCACATTTATACCAAAAAATCCGAACGTTACGAATGCCTGGCAGGTTGCATACCAATCTGAAACCAAGCAAAAATAATTAAAATACAGTCTATAGACGAAAAAATATGTTTTTCCTACATCTTTAATTCGGATAAGATTTCAATGAAGCATTGCACGATCGCTACATTCTACTCAATTTAAACGTTAATTTGATGCCCATCATTTTAAATACTGTAGTATCGATAATTAAAAAAGAAGGGAAAAAAAAAAAAAAAAAAAAAAAAAAAAAAAACACTAAGGGCGACAATTCTGAGGGCTAAAATCCTAAAACAAAATATGAAATTTAATAGTCAGGCTGTTTCTGAATTTGAAAGTAAGCACTATAAAAAAGTAACCTTGACAATTCATTCAATCGATGATTAATTCTACGACTACTGATTTCAAACATGCATGAAACTTAAATTGCTGCAACTTATGTTACAAAAGATTTAGAAAAAGCAATCGATTGACGATGTCGAAATGTACAAAAATGACTATTTTGAGGAGAAAAAAATTCACATGAAATATTTTATTCACCGGCTTACCATTGGCCCATCCATCAAGTTGTATACAGGTAGGAGTGTACTTATCATCTGAACAACTTCTCCATAACCCATAATGCCTGCCTTCATTTGTGCCTGACGTTGCTTCTCCCCACCCGGTGCACGTGTAAGCTATCCATGCGAACAATGTCGCCACCAGTAATAAACCGAAGGCTATCTTAGCGAACAACCCTGCTCCCTTGAAACCGTCGACAACTCCCATGATTGCAAAAATAAACGGTGACGCACTGCACTTATCGAGAAAGCTTATATGTATTTTTTTATTTTATCCTTTCACTTTCTTTCCACAATGTTAACGAGAAAAAACTCAAATGCAGTTTATCTTATTATTAATTCAAATACAGTATTTTTTCACTTAATTTTTACAGTTTAGATATTAACATCGATATACGAACTGACTTCGATTTCACTTTTTTATAACAAATGTGCGATTAATTTTTATTGCATTTATCTTTTATTACACCTAGCTCATTAGTTGACAAGGGTAACTAACGCCTGATAGATGCAGGATCTTGATTTATATAGCTGTTGGGTTACCTGAGTGGTAACCAATGTAAACATTAGTAACTACAAACAATCAACAAACTGTCTGATGAGGTTGCGATCATTAAAATTCTAAATTTCGAACAAATGTATGTGTACAATTTATAATACCTTTCGAGTGTGAACATAACGCTTTAGCAGAAAAATACGATTTAGTCTACGAATAGCACAGATCAAATAAAGCCAATAATACAATAATTCTTGAAAAAACAATTACTTTAGATTCTATAAATTGAAGTGGAATAATAACAGTTTACTATAAACGGATGGATTAATCAATAAATAATGAAAATAAAAATCATTTCAATGAATTGAGCGGACAGGTGTTTTCTTTACGAACTGTAGAATTTAAAAGTAAAGTTCTAACAGTGTCACATGAATTTCGGTCAATGTTTTTAATATACAAGTAAATTGTCATGAGTATTGTTTAACAGAAAATGATGAAAATACTTGAAATTACCCTAAATCGCGTTTTTTCATGTTTAAACATGGCCTGTCATATAAATTTGAAGAAAAATTGTTGTTTTGTAGATTTTTTTGATTTTTTTCATTAACCCATTACTTCATGAGCTTTTTGTGAAAAATGGCTGTTTTCATTGAAAGGTCTCCCTTTACAAGTTCAAATTGCTATCATACTATAAAAACTGCTTCAACACTAATCAAACTTGGCACAAATGTTGACTGGACCATTGCCCTTGCAACAACATGCTCAGGCTTAAATTTTTTGTTAATATGGCAACGAGGGGACATCTCAAAATTGCCAAAAAACACTATTTTGCGTTAATTTTTTCCATCAAAATTGATTTCAAAGTGCTGCAACTTCTCTATGGATTGAGATAGAGTCAAATGCTTTTCAGCGTTGGTTACACGTTACCTTATGATCAATCTGGGGTCATTTACAGCCTCCCACAAGTCCAAAATTTTCTTGGCGATGAGGGGGACTCCGCCCCCCTTCAAACCCCCCAAACAGAAGGGGGCACATCCCCCTTCTCGCAACCCCCTGATGTATCTTTTGGTTGGGGGACCGCGCCGAAAAAGAGGTCACTTTTTTAACAACATTTCTCAAACAAAAACAAGTGTTTGGGGCCTAAATAAGGCATTTTTTTATCATTTGAGACAACAAAAAGGGGGGGGGGGTGAAAAAGGCGTTAAAAGGCGTGTATATGAAGTAATGGGTTAACAGAAAATGATGAAAATACTTGAAATTACCCTAAATCGCGTTTTTTCATGTTTAAACATGGCCTGTCATATAAATTTGAAGAAAAATTGTTGTTTTGTAGATTTTTTTATTTTTTTCATTAACCCATTACTTCATGAGCTTTTTGTGAAAAATGGCTGTTTTCATTGAAAAGTCTCCCGTTACAAGTTCAAATTGCTATCATACTATAAAAACTGCTTCAACACTAATCAAACTTGGCACAAATGTTGACTGGACCATTGCCCTTGCAACAACATGCTCAGGCTTAAATTTTCTGTTAATATGGCAACGAGGGGACATCTCAAAATTGCCAAAAAACACTATTTTGCGTTAATTTTTTCCATCAAAATTGATTTCAAAGTGCTGCAACTTCTCAATGGATTGAGATAGAGTCAAATGCTTTTCAGCGTTGGTTACACGTTACCTTATGATCAATCTGGGGTCATTTACAGCCTCTCACAAGTCCAAAATTTTCTTGGCGATGAGGGGGACTCCGCCCCCCTTCAAACCCCCCAAACAGAAGGGGGCACATCCCCCTTCTCGCAACCCCCTGATGTATCTTTTGGTTGGGGGACCGCGCCGAAAAAGAGGTCACTTTTTTTAACAACATTTCTCAAACAAAAACAAGTGTTTGGGGCCTAAATAAGGCATTTTTTTTATCATTTGAGACAACAAAAAGGGGGGGGGGGAAAAGGCGTTAAAAGGCGTGTATATGAAGTAATGGGTTAAATATCGTTGTTTTTTAATTGGTTTTTGTTTTTGGACATAAATAAGTAAATTATTAAGAAAGTATTTAATTGCTATTTAAGTATTGAATGGTAGATACAGCAGGGATTTTATCATATTTTTTTTAAATCTTTTTTTTTTAATTTTTATTTTATCTATTTATTTTCATATTATTGTTATCTTTTTATTCTTCTTATTTTTTTGGGAGGGGATGGGGTATTGGTTGGGCGGTGGGGGTGGGGTGTGGGGTGTGGAAAGGGAGTTTGTGTATCCGTTGGTACTTAGCATAATCCAGTGACTTGCAGTCCAATACATGTCTATTTTCAGCAATTAACCGTAAATTCTTCGGGGTGGGGCGGGGAAACAACAATATGAGTATTAATATAGCATTTAATGAACGTTCTTAAGCAAAAAACACTCACGGAAAGAACAACAAAAAAAATAAGAAAATAAAAATCCACAAACAAACAGTACTTGAAAAGTGTCACGCTAAAGCCTCGAACTCAATATTTGATCGTCATAGGCGAAACGCCCATTTTATTGTATAAAACTCGCAGTTTACGTGCACATTTAAGCACAATGATAAAAGACTCGCCTTAAATGATTTATAGTCCAATTCTATCTTTTATCATGCAACTAGATGGTATTGATTACCTCTACAATATTAAAATGCACTTCTCATTGAAGTGCAACGTTCTACAAAATATCGATAGCTTGCAATGTATTTTATAATGGGAAGTATTTGGATCCATATTAATTAAAACAGTTATTAATTGCTTAAATGAAATTATATGCTGGGTTGAAAGGCACATTATGCTTCAGTAATAAATAAATCTTTACTTCTTTTAGAAAAGGTAAACATAAATTTTACAACATTTAAATAATGATGCTTGTTACGTGAAGAATGTAGCGCTGAATGCGAAATCAAGTGTCATAAAAGAAGCAAAATGTAGTATTTTCACTTCCATACAAAATACCAAATCACTGTAACTGTCCTAATTGCCAAAAAGCAACCGGAGCAAAATATAGTTCAGGCAATTCGGCAATGTAACTTTTTGGAAATTATAAAATAAAAAGCCCTGTCAGGGCCAAGCCGTTGTTTCCTTGAGCAAGAAACTTTACATTCATTGCTTAGTACTGGTTGGTTCCAGGAACGGAGTCGAGAGTGTTTCAATAAGCTCATATCTTTCAACACAATCGAACTAAAATAAATTTGTATAAACTAAAAGCATATCTAGGGCATAATGGGCCTTTAAGTAAAAATGTGAATTAGATTATCTTAAATAATTTTACAACAAAAATACTTTATAAAACTGTATCTTAATTTTCATGAAAAATTAGCATGCACTTTTGGGCGTGCTGCTTTAAATTTGCACCACTCAAAAATTATTCGAATCAAGTAGATCTTATGTCATTTAAAGGACAAATAAAATACAATAATATCATAAATCATATACTTATAAAACACATTTGTAAAAATTTACTTCTTCAAATATCAAGTTTGGCGTATATATGTTCCGTGCACCTCTAGTAACCAGGACTAATACCTTTTGATAGTATTTGTAACATGCATGTGTGAGTTGACTAGGTCAACATGAACAGTAAACGAAAGTCTAGGGTAACCAAATATCGATATACTAAAAGCTTTTTGTATTTATTTAAACATTTTAATTCAGGTCTAAATAAAAAAAAACGCACTCGTTCAACCTTGAACCTATTATACGTTCAGACGCACGCCTCAAACAAATGAGGTGGAAAAGTACATGACAACGTAAATTGTATACTTCTACAAATTAAGGAGTGAAATGTGAAATGGCGTTTTATAACTGACAATTGTACTCATGTTGAACCTGCTTGGTTCCAGTTCCCCAGAACAACATTGCAAAAACAGTCGCCGGTGTCGGTAATGATACATTAGGCCATGAAGGCTAAGGCCAGATTTACGTTTCAACAAGTATTGAAATGATGACCTGAAATCTTATAACGGAAACGATTAAATAAATAAATAAACAAATATTATGATGATACTGATCAAGATGATGATGATGATGATGATGGTTGTTGTTGTTGTGGTGGTGGTGGTGATGATGATGTTGATGTTGATGATGATGGTGGTGGTGGTGGTGATGATGATGGTGGTGGTGGTGATGATGATGATGATGATGGTGGTGATGGTGGTGGTGATGGTGATGCTGGTGATGATGATGGTGGTGGTGGTGGTGATGATGGTGGTGGTGGTGGTGATGATGATGATGGTGGTGGTGATGATGATGATGATGATGATTGTGGTGGTGATGTTGGACTTGGTGGTGATGATGATGATGATGATGATGATGATGATGATGATGATGATGATGGTGGTGGTGATGATGATGATGATGATTATGGTGGTGGTGGTGATGATGGTGGTGATGATGATGATGGTGGTGGTGATGATGATGGTGGTGATGATGATGATGATGATGATGGTGATGATGGTGGTGGTGATGATGATGGTGGTGATGATGATGATGGTGGTGATGGTGGTGGTGATGATGATGATGATGATGATGATGGTGGTGATGATAATGATGATGATGATGATGGTGGTTGTGGTGATGATGATGATGGTGATGATAGTGGATGGTGGTGATGATGATGATGATGATGATGGTGGTGATGATGATGATGATGCTGGTGATGATGATGGTGATGGATGGTGGTGATGATGATGGTGATGATGACGCTGGTGATGATGATGATGGTGGTGATGATGATGGTGGTGATGATGATGATGATGGATGGTGGTGATGATGATGACGATGATGATGATGATTGTGGTGATGATGATGATGGTTATGATGATGATGGTGGTGATGATGATGCTGGTGATGATAATGGTGGTGGTGGTGGTGATGATGATGATGATGGTGGTGGTGGTGATGATGATGATGATGATGATGATGTTGTTGTAGTGAAAAAAATGATGATGATGTAGTAATGTTGACAATAACGATGATGATAATAATGGAAAATATTTTTA